CCCTCGCTCATCCACAATGGCTTGTTTCGACTTTGACCCGACCGATAGATCGCATCCCGGAGTCGGTTAGCCAGCACTTCCTTCCAACCGGCATAAACCATGTCGTGGTGGCGCTCCTCCCAATAAAAAGCTTGCTGCAATAAAAAAAATTGATGTTAATAAAACAATAAATGAAATTAAAAGAATAGTTTGAATTAAATCAGAAACCCTAAACCCCAAACAAAACCCTAAACCCCAAACGAAACCCTAAACCCCAAACGAAACCCTAAACCCCAAATGAAACCATAATCCCTAAATTGATAATTGGAACCCTAATACTGAATCTAAACCATAATACTGTAACCCTAAACCCTAAAATCAGAAACCCTAAACCCTAAACCCTAAACCCTAAACCCTAAACCCCAAATGAAACCATAATCAATCAATTGGTAATTGGAACCCTAATACCGAATTTAAACCATAATACCGAAACCCTAAATCAGAAACCCTAAATCCCAAACGAAACCCTAAATCTGAAACCCTAAATCTGAAATCCTAAACCCCAAATGAATCCAAAATCCCATCGAAACAATCCAAAACATCGCGAAATCACTCCATAATTCGCCGAAAATCATCCAGAAAATCCGAAAATTTTCGGATCTTAGAATTTTCGCACAAATCTCATGGAAACCCTAAACCCAAGCTTCAGCGAATCATCACCAAGGGAGAGAAGGAGAGAGGAAAGACTTACCTCGCACGGCGTCGGACAGGTTGGCTTGGACGGTGGGTGGCCGGAAATCGCACCGATTACCGGAAATCGCAGAGAATCTGTTTTCGCGTCGAGGCGGAGAAGAAAGAAGAGGAATCCCGATATGTATTACACATTGCGACGGAACTTAACCGTCGGAAACCGTCGCTAATGTTTGAACACGTGGCCATTAGCGACGGAGTATCTTATTTAACGACGGAATATATCCGTCGCACACGGATTTTAAAATTTTCAAAAAATTTGCGAAAATTTCAGGCAGAAAAATACCGACGGATATCGACGGATAATATCTATCGCAAAATAGAAAAATAATAATAAAAAAATTAAAATAAAAATACACACATTGCATAATTAATCAAATGAACCATACGATGATGTTTCCGTTGTTTCGGGATTAGTGTCTTCACTGCTATCGCCTTCTTCATCGAGGTTTCCAATTTCTAGTTCTTCAACTATCCCTTGTTCCACTACTAGACTCTCCACATCAATTGTTTCCGCGACAGCTATAACTGTGTGTTCTTCCTGTAGCGGGCTTTGTTCCACTAATCCGTCATATGTAATGGTCCCTCTTGGATTAATCTTGATAACGGTCTTCCAATCAATGTCACTTCTTCGCGTTTTATCTCTTGGATAAGGGATAAAACATACCTGATCTGCTTGGGATGTCAGTATAAAAGGGTCGTATTTTCTATATCGACGGGAGTAACGAATATGCTTCGGTTCTCGGAGGCAGGTCAGGAGGTGAGATATCCACATTTAGGTGGAGCTTCCTCGGTTAGGATGCTTAGGAGATGGTGTGAGGTGGGAGGTGTCGATTCACCGAATAGAGTCGGTGTAGGTTGGAGCGCTAGGACACTCCCTCTCGGGGTGGAGTAGGTACATTCACGTTCTCTCATTCTCGGTGGAGCATTTCTAGTTGACTATGAGCGTTTTTGCGGGACAAAACCGTGGAGACAATCTTAGTTGGCAAGTTAGGGTCCGGGGCTAGAAGTCACATACTCATAGGTAGTGTAGACTCTACGGGGATCCAAGGCTAGGTTATCTAGCAGGTTTGGTAGTCTGACTCAGTTTAGTCTCAGGAAAGTCGGGTTAGACTCGGGAGACGAGTAGTTGTCAGGTATAATCCTCGGATTACTAGCATGTAAAGTCTTGCACTTTACCGGGAGGGTTAATTAGACGGTCTAGGGAGTCATACCACCGGGGATAACGTTCGCCGATCGAGCGATGTATGTCATAGTCTCGATTCGAGTCTTGTCTGTGTGAATTTTCTGATCCCTCTACCGAGTATTTCAGGGATAGATGAGTTGGATCGGTGAGGAATAAGAAAGATCCGAAACTTGGGAAGTCACCGGTGGCGAGCTTCATCAAATTCGAGGCAGTAGAGGTTATGAATTTTTTAAATTTCCGACGAAAGTCGATGGATCGACGAAAATCGATCGGTGTTGGAAATGCGTTAATCCACTAGTTTCCTCTGGTTTCGCTTTCTCCACCAACGTGGAGATTGTTGGGCCTTCACTTGATGGCCCATTGCTTTTGGTGGAAAAGTGGAATCCTCCAAAAGAGGGAGAGGTTTCTCCAAAACGACACGTTTCGGTGGTAAAGGGTTCCTTAACCCTAATGTCTTTAGTCTTCGACGAACGCACGCATGTGGCTCCAGGAAGAGGACCAAAAGAGGGAAGAATGGGAGAAAGAGAAGGCGACGACGACGAAGGAGCTTCTCGGCGGTGATAGAGCTCAGTTGTTTTCTTGGAAAGTTTTGGTTCAGCGAGTCTCCGGTTTGTGGAAGACTGTCTGTTCCTGTTTTCGGTGTTTTTTCTTTCCGTCTCTAGTGGATTCGCCGGCACCGTCCGGCCGAGATGTAAGCCCAAGCAACGTTCGGTATCTGAATTCGTTAAAACCTCGGTGTATTCTCTGTTTCTTGCACGCACGAGCATCGGAGGTAAAATGTGAGGGCTCAATACCACATTTACGGTTAATGTGAAATCGGAAAATCAAACCGTATGTATGTAAACTAAATTGAGAATAAATAACGTGATACTAAATTTAAAGAAAAAGAAAACTTTGTCTTTTGCGGACACATGAATTCTGCTTCTAATTTTTTTTTATTCACGCTTGCCTAGCTTTGAAAGATTTATTATTATATTTAGTCAAAGCAAGACAGCTCCAAGGCCTCGAGAGCAATAAAATCGTGGCAATTTGAATTATTTATCACTTCGAATTATCACAGATACAATTAATAAACAAACTATAGAGATGCCGATTATCATAGAAATATATAAAATTTTAATTGTCATTAGAACGATGATACGTTTCTTATTTTTTTCAAGTCTCCGTTCGTATAATTTTTTTTTTCAACTTCTTTTATTTTATTTGAACATAAATTATTAGATCGTTGTCATCTGGTCCAATGGCTTTCTCATTATTCTTATATCGTTTTATTTTCGGCCATAGTTATGGTTAGAGAAATATATTCGGTGAATAAAGTTTTTGTTCAATTTCGAAATACGTAACTAATATTTCTTAAAGAAAAAACCAACCAACCAACATAAAAATTAAAATTACAACTTTGATACTAATACAATATCGCACGTAAAATAAATAAACTCCTGTCGTGATCTTGTCATCGAGAAACGAATCGTTGACTTCTCATATGGTTTTAAATATGTTAAACATGTTTTTATATTTTTTTTTATTTAAAATATATAATGACCACACAATTTAAACGAAATTTATGGCGAGTATATGGATTCAGATATATAATACCTTATTTTTAAAAAAATATATGTTAGTTAATAAATATCAGAAATCAAAATTTTAGATAAATATTTGTAATATATGTAATTTACTTGTGGAATAGAAGTCTTAACTAGATTTTAGTTCCACACTACACGAAAATATTATCAATTAAATGCATCTCTTCAAGTCTTATATAAAATTAATATTCCGCTACATATATGATATATTATAATGTTGGACCTTTAATTCTATGTTATAAATTGATTATCCCAATGATAATGATCCTTTTTGGAAATTCCGAATTTAGGCTCTTTCCTTAACGCATAATTAAATTAATATCCAAATCATCAATTCTTGCAAGCTTGGCATATCCGTAATTCTCACAAATTCGATTTATATAGATGCAAATTTATCTTAAACATAGCTTAATTCAATCCGATTCTAATAAATATTATCTTCCTGTTAGATGTGATGCTGTGGGTTTTATTAAATTAAAATAAATATTCCACTTATTTGAATTTAGTTAAATAAGATAAAGCTCTCTCTCTCTCTCTATATACATATATATATAAGGTGATTTTGATATTTATTGATGAATTTATATACAACTTTTTTGTTGTTTTTATGAAAAGTAATATGGATTTCTATACAGTTGATTATTAAAACAAAAATATAAAGATTAAAATATATATTTTTATCATAATAAGTGTGTCTGGATTCGATTCTATAAATAGTTGGACAGACGTGGGCTCAAAATCATCCCACGTGATTCTCCATTTTCCCGTCCCGGAAACAGTCTTTTTGTGAAGAGAGAAACGAGGAGAACACAAATAAATAAAATAAAATTCTTTTTTTTTTCTCCCCGGGCTTTGATCGGTAGATTCGTCCACTTTTTCACTTCTCTCAGGTTCTCTGAAGAATCCGGTGATTAGCAATGGCGAAGAACGTGGGGATTCTTGCTGTTGACATCTACTTTCCTCCCACCTGCGTCCAGCAGGTTTCCTTCTCTCTCTTAATTTCTCTCAAAATGTGGATTTTCTGAGAATGGGATGAGAAAATGTCGGAAATTTCTTATTTTGAATTATGGGTTTTGCTCCGAGAATCAGGAAATGACGGTTCTTCACTCTTCTCTGCAACTGGACATTGTCGAGTTTTTAATGTTGTTCATGTCAGTAGTGGTGGGATTTCTGTGTTCTTTAGTGTTGGATTCTGCGTTTTCTTGGATCAGAGATTGCGGTTTCATTGGAAAGATTGTACCTTCGGGCTTCTTAGATCGGAAGGGAACACCTTTTTGGTTGTTCTGAGACGTTTGTATCCGATTCTGCACATTTCAGACCCATTGTTCATGCCTGAGGATCAGAGAAAACGAAACTTGCCTTGTGAATCTTTAAACAAATCATTAGTGTAGATTGATTACTGATATACTCTCTCTCTCTGTGTGTATAGGAAGCTCTTGAAGCTTTTGATGGAGCCAGCAAAGGGAAATACACGATTGGGCTTGGACAAGATTGTATGGCATTCTGCACGGAGCTTGAAGATGTAATCTCAATGAGGTATTTGATTTCACCATTTGGCTTTACGCTCTTACAAAATCGTGTATTAGCGTTTCTCACGAGTGGGTTTTGAACCTTTTGCCTTGTATTTTCTGATGTTTTCGGTACTCAGCTTGACCGTTGTAACTTCCCTCCTTGAGAAGTATAAGATTGACCCGACGAAAATCGGACGTCTTGAAGTAGGCAGCGAAACCGTGATAGACAAGAGCAAGTCCATCAAGACTTTCTTGATGCAAATCTTCGAGGTAATTTTACCGTTCTTGTTTGTGTTTTTTTTCTTGTGTTGAGACATATTTCTTACAGCAAACAAATCGAAACAGAAACATGGAAATACCGACATTGAAGGAGTTGATTCTACAAACGCCTGCTATGGTGGAACAGCAGCTTTGTTGAACTGTGTCAACTGGGTCGAGAGCAACTCATGGGATGGACGATACGGTTTAGTTGTTTGTACAGACAGTGCGGTAATCGTTACCCTCCTTTCGAAAATTTATCCTAAACAGAATCATAGATTATAAAGATTCTCGCTTTGGATTAGATCGTTCATATTCATCTAACCCTGCGGTATTTTTTTTCCATTTAGGTATATGCAGAAGGACCGGCAAGACCCACGGGAGGAGCAGCCGCTGTTGCTATGTTGATAGGACCCGAGGCTCCTATCGTCTTCGAGAGCAAATTTAGAGGCAGCCATATGGCTCATGCTTACGACTTTTACAAGCCCGATCTTGCCAGCGAATACCCGGTAACTCTTCCTTCCTCACCATTCGTTCTTGCATTTTATTGTTACATAGATGTCATCTATCAGTATCAGATTCGATTTTTGTTCTGATATATCTGTAGGTTGTTGATGGAAAGCTTTCTCAAACTTGCTACTTAATGGCTCTTGACTCATGCTACAAAACTCTGTGCAACAAGTAAGTTGATGCCCATCACCCTAAAGGTGTTCAATTTTCCGGCTTTACAAAGATTCTGATCAATCGAGATTCTGCATAATAACCCCTGAATTTTCTTTCTTAAACGATTAGGTACGAAAAACTCGAAGGCAAGCAATTCTCTCTTGATGAAGCTGACTTCTTTGTTTTCCATTCCCCATACAACAAGGTATGTATCGGTTCTTCCAACACTACACCTGAACAAAATATTTCAGTTTTCGGGTACCCTTTTTTACCTATTCTTCATTCCGAACGTTGCAGCTTGTCCAGAAAAGCTTCGCCCGTTTGCTATACAACGAATTCATGAGGAACACGAGGTTCCTGCCCTCTTCCACGCTGTCTGAAAACTCGCTTTTTTTTTTCTAAGTCTGTGTGTAATGACTGATCAGTTGTCCAAAACTAACATAAACTTTGTAGTTCTGTTGACGAAGCTGCTAAAGAAATGTTCAAGCAGTTTGCATCATTGTCCATTGATGAAAGCTACCAGAGCCGGGATCTTGAAAAGGTTTGTTCCTTCGACTGTAATCTGATCCCAACTCTGATGAGGTCATACTGTAACTTAATTCCAACCCGTTTGATTCATTTCGTGTCTTGTTTCCAGGTTTCGCAACAGCTGGCGAAGCCGCTGTATGATTCCAAAGTAAAGCCAACGACTTTGATATCGAAGCAAGGTGGAAACATGTACACGGCATCTCTCTACGCAGCTTTCGTCTCCCTCATCCATGGCAAACACAGTGAACTGGTATGGTAACTTCTACATAGGACAGGAAGAAGAAAAGACTGAACCTTTTTCTCTTGTTTCTCATTTCAAGAACCATATGAACAAAATCTGATTCATGGGTTCTCTCTTTTACGCCCGCAAATCTTGGATCCAGCCTGGGAAACGTGTGGTCATGTTCTCGTACGGAAGTGGCCTTACCGCAACTATGTTCTCGCTTAAGCTCCGTGAGAACGCTGCTCCGTTCGGCTTATCCGACATTGCAACTGCCATGGACGTTGCTGGGAAGTTGAAGAACAGACACGAGGTAAAAATTCCAGGCCAATACAACGACGTTTATGAATTCAGACAGTGACTTGGGTATCAGGGTCAGTTTCTTTTTTGGCTGAAAGGATGTGACTTTGTCTGCAGTTTTCGCCGGAGAAATTCGTGGAGACGATGAAGCTGATGGAGCATCGATATGGCGCAAAGGATTTCGTGACGAACAAGGAACAGATCGGATTGTTGTCGCCGGGAACTTACTATCTTGTCGAGGTTGACTCCAAGTACCGGAGATTCTACTCTGCGATCTCGCCGGAGAATGGATCGGTCGAGAACGGGCACTGAACGACCGAGTCATGACTCGTACGGACATTGGATTTTTTTTTGGTTGTTCGCAGTTGACAGATCCGTTCTCTCTCTCTCCAAAAAAAAAAGTCGTTTTCTTCTTTTTCTAAGCTTTTGGTTGAAATAATTGTTCGCTTGTATTTTTATTTTATCATGAATAAAAAATAGCATTATAAATGCCATAATCGTGCATATAAATCCATGAAATGACAAGGAAAAAAATGGTTGATCAATTTTTATTGTTCATCAGCATGGAAACTATGTTTTATAAATAAATGCATTATAAAAAATCAAAATTAACCAAAAAAATCGATTTATTTCTTCTTTTTTTTCTTCAAAAATGACATATATAGACTCAATAATAATAAAAACCCAAAATCATTACAATATACATATCAAATATATTTTAGTCAAGTTATATAATATACATATCAAATAAAAACCACCATAGCTAACATGATGGAAAAGAAATTCTGGCTGTATGGGACATGATACATTTTATTTGTAATAATCAAAGTTTATAACAATACAACAACATCATGCAAATACAAAATCATAACACGGCTCTCGATCCAACACATAAAACCCTAAAAACAACTCTTACTTTCTTCATCCAAAACTCTGTCCAAGTTTTCGGATCGCACCTTCAGATCTCAAGCTTTAACCTCTGTCTTCTTGTTCGGTTCGAACACGAACTTGACAAGCGATTCCTTGATCGACATCATCTCGGGGAACTCGGCTTTCAGCTTGGTCGCATCGAGCTCGTTGTTACTCCTCGGGGCAACGATCACTTTCGCCTGTTCTTCCACCGTGAAATTCTTCCACGTGAAGCTCGGGTCGATGTACTCCTTGTACATCTCGAGGATCTCGTTGTGGCTAACGACCCCCGGGTTAGTGAAGTTCCATATCCCGGTTAAGTTTCGCTTTGCCATCTCGATGGAGATTGGGAGGAGCTCGTCGAGGATGGTCATCGAGTTGGGGATGTCGACCACTTTGTTGTACCGAGAGATTTTGGTAATGAAGTTTCGCGGGTTGGAGAGATCCGACGAGATTGGCATTCGGACACGGAGTGTGCATACATTGTCATAGTTCTTGAGCAGTTCCTCGACCTATTTGAGAGTCACAAATCAAAGAAGAAAACAGATTTAGAACAGCTTGAGATTATCAAACTCAAACAACGATACAACAGAAATCGAAATCCAACTGTAATGATGCATAATCATTAACCCAGATAGCCAATCCAAATCCAAAAACCAAGATCAAATCATACACAAATAACATCAGGTTCCAAGATATTGACTTGGTTGGTTGACATAAATCTTTTTCTCAATTGTTCCAAGAATCTTGTAAACTAACCACAAAAATAGTGATGTTGAATACTGACTGAATCTTAAGCTCTACCAAAAGAATCAATCATCGGACAGGACAAATGAGCTTGAACACGACAGCTTTTCACATTTTCAGGATCATCAGATCCGATCAATCATGTTACTCTGTGACTGACGGTCAACAACACAATATGGATAGCCAACATGAACGTTAGGCTAATTTGATACATCTATTGGATCAGAATCAGAGGAACCCATGTTTATCCTAGACGTGGATCTGATACAAACGCATTGCAAATACATGATCTAAACGCATGAACACTCCAAATACTTCAACTCTAATAAAGGGTTCAACATGTGAATAGAGACGAAAGCTTTACCATGGCCTTGGTTTTGGAGTAGAATGATCCGGTGAAATTGGGAGTGTCCTCCTCCTTGAACCCGAGACCCGACCCGAGAGGATGACCCGAATCGTACTCGAAAATACAACCAGTGGCGTAATTGATCAGGATCAGACCCTTCTCCTTACAAACATCGGCGATGGTTAGGGTTCCGACAACATTCGTACGGATGGTCTCGACCTTGTGGGACTCGCACCAGTCAACATTGGGTCGTCCGGTGACTCCGGCGGCGTTGAAGACGTGGGTCGGCCTTTCACATCGGCGATGGTTAGGGTTCCGACAACATTCGTACGGATGGTCTCGACCTTGTGGGACTCGCACCAGTCAACATTGGGTCGTCCGGTGACTCCGGCGGCGTTGAAGACGTGGCTCGGCTTCACGGCCTCAATGTCGGCGAGGAGCGAACGACGGTCCTCGAGCCGACCGGAGCCGTACGTGTACGGAATGCCCTGAGATTCGCAGAGCTTGCCCAGCAGACCACCGATCCAACCTGTCCGTCCATAGATGAGGAAATTGATAGCCGTCGGTGAGCCATTGGCCTCCGCACCCATTCTCAAACAGCACGAATCTCGCCGGAGAGAGAGAGAGAGAGAGAGAGAGAGAGAGAGAATGGTACGAGATAGTGAGATTGAGATACAAGGAGATGATGGCGTCCGACGATGCTTCCTTTTATCCCGTTTTCAGGGAGAAATCTTCAATTTTAGTACCTTTTTATTTTAGATTTGCTAATTTGACCCCTAAGGTAATAACGTTGTCACCGCACGCCAAATTTAGAAATCCCAATTATATTTTTTTCTTCAACAGGTTCTCGATTATCGTCCCGTATTCAGAATTTCTATAATTAAAAAAATTTAGTGTGATTTGTACGGAAGGCAGCTAATCGGTGAATAAAAAATGAGGATAAATTCACGAGAATTTATCATTTTCTAAAATAATATTTTAACACAGAAATCGACAATATAAAAGAAATATAATTTATCACATATTCTTTTAGTAAAATCTTAACCAATTTAGAATTTAGAATATCGCTCGAGCTAATATACGGTTTTATTTTGGACAATTGACTTTTTTTTTCCCTTCAACGTTACATAAAATTACTAAGAAAAATCAGCTTTTCCAACATTTTAAAATACATGCTTTGATTTGATTTAGAGATCATAAGATACACAAGTTCTCATCTACATGAAGTTTAAAAATTTTAGCCATCAAAATATTTGTACCGGTTATATTTTATGGGTTAGATTCAATATGTAAAATAATATAAACAATACATAAAACTAGCTATATGAATATCTAAATCACATTATTTTTGTGTAATGAGAAATTGTATATAAAATTCTTTGACGTGGTAGTCTATCTCGAACTCTAATATAACTAATTTTTTTTTTAATGAAAATCATAAGGTTTTGTGGCTGAATATTTTAATTTGTGACCCATTGGACTCTAAACCGCGTCGTCACAAGGACAAAATATAAGAAAGTGAAATTCATACGAGTATAAATTAGCTTGTCATTCTCAATTTATATAATTATATAATACGCATGAAGGAAATATGATTAATATAATTTCATATTCATTCTATATAAGCAAATATTAGAGAAATTCAACATCTATATATACACACTAAAAAAAACATCCTTAATCTTTGTACTTTCTCTTCTTGTTATGTACATAAAAGCCAGTTCAAAAAGTTATAGTCCTCGGAATCTCCGAACTATTTCATGTAATTTTAAATCCGAAAAAACATTTATTTCCATAAAATATTCAAATTTATCACTATAACTTTAACATGTATGAGATTATAAAAAAAAAACTTTAACACGTATGAATAATTAGGTGAATGATGTATCTATATATATATATAGATATATGGACACACATGGTGACATATAGATCGGATCCAATCTGTCGGCATCATATTGTGCAAGTCATGGGCCCTCTTTTAATTATCACTTTTTTTAAAAAATCGAATTTAAAGAATTATCGATATTATTATCATTATTATTTAATTAATTAATAGATCGTGGGCAGATCCAAATCTAGTGAGTTATAGTACATTTTATATTTGCGGAAGCATATAGTTATAAATAATTGATTAGAAAAATATTTGAAGCATGTGATTTGGGTGTGGCTTTGGAATTGGTATTTTCTTATTTTTTTATTGGGAGAGTGGGTGGGTGATGCCTACAACCTTTCCTTCACCAGGAGCAACAAATAATAATAATAATAATAATAATAATAATAATAATAATAATAATAATAATAATAATCGTATGCAACATTTTGAGAGGCTATTAAAACATGTTTTGATGAGAAAAAAGAAAAGAACAAAATATAAAAATATTAGCATAAATTCGCCTTTCGAATATGCTGCGAAAATATGATAATTTGGTTTCGCTTTACTCTAAAAAGTGACGTGCAATTTGATACAATATTTATAAAATGCAATAGAAAAATCTTTTTTAAAATTTGATAATATTATTATAATATATATACATACACGATAGGAATCAAAAACTATAATTAACTTACGAATATATAAATCAACGGATTTTTATCTCAATTGCACCTATATAATTAAAAAAACACATGAAACCTATGTCTCTACTTTCAGATTCAACTCCGTATCAAAAATCTTTTTTTTTTCTCCTGAAAAAATAAAAGAATAACTAAATTCGGACCAAAAATGTTGATAAATTTTTAATTACATAATTTTATTTGTGCAATTTATCCTCTTTTGGATACTAAAAAAACACTAAATCAAATGAGTATAACAGTCCAATTACTTTGAAACGTTTCAGATCAAGCATAGCACGAGTTTTACAAAAAATCAAAAAATTTAAAAAAAAAATATTAGAGGTACATATGAAAGCACTGACTAATCAACTAATTAATCAGAGTGTATGGGCCAAAAGACAACGGACGTAGGTTATTGATGATATATTACAAACCATGATCAACACCATGATTAGTACTCGAGTAATTAATTATAGTAAAATATAGTACCGATTCAATTAATGTTTGCGTTTGGATTTCAAAGAAGTGACGGAATGAGAGTTGTTGTGCCAATTTCTCTTCCTCTGATTGATGAACCAGTTGTTTATTTGCTTCAGCTGAAGCCCCGTCTCCTCCACCAATTTTGCCTTGTCATCTTCCTGTCCCCGGCCCATCTCCACATACATTATATCATACATATATATACATATATATGTGTATGTATATAAGTATACATATACACGTATAATACTAACCGTAGGATAAGGCCACTTGGCATGTAGCTGCCACCAATTCTTCAAGACCGTGGTTGTGTCTCCCGGCAATTTCCCTGCCCTCCTCTTCCTCAAGATCTCTTCCCTCACATCTTCTATTCTTGATTTAAAACCCTAATTATATTATTATAACATAAACGTGTCACAGTTCTTCAATATATATGTAGATAGCATTGCAAAAATATACTTCATATCAGTCATAGATATAAAAATATGTGGTTAGGTGATTTTTTTTTTAGTGAAATATGTTGAATAAAATCAATCTAAAATCGCAAATGTATGGTATATGTTCAAGTGCTTGATTTGCTACAAAAGCTTTTTTTTTTTTTTTTGTAAAGTTTGTACCCAAGATCACAAAAGCTTTATATATATATATATATACACATACATATACTTTGTCAAGATTCTATATATACACCTAATTTTACACACTATATCATCCATCAATGGTGGTTTTAGATTGCAGGGCTTAATTTATAAGATCAAATTAATCTCCTACCAATTTTTTTTTGGATGAATTTTCTTTCATATAAAACGTGGTAGTAATTAAGGGCAATGATATGTTACCTGTTTGAGTTCGATTTTAAGTTCTTGTCTGACTCTTTCCATAAGAGACCTTTCCGATTCTGTCGGAAGCAACGGACCAAACCCCATCATATCATGCCCAATGTCTCCTCCCCCGCCGCCGGAGTTTTCCGACGAGAAATCCATCTTAAGCTCGTCCTCGTCATCCGACATCGTCGCCCCACTCCCTTCCCCTAACGTCGTCCCTACCAATAATAATAATAATAATAATAATAATAATTCTAACGAATTTTATTTGAATGAAAACTATATAGACAGAAGAAAACTTCATATTTGTTGGGTTTACATCAAAAAATGCCCAATCGAAGGCCCATCAAACGTGCATGCGCATCTTTGTGTTTGCGTAGATATTACATAGTCCTTAGGTATAATGCATGTGTGTGTACATATGTGGCAGGATCGCCAAAATCTTTTGATACCTAACTTATATATATATATATAACTTTTTATATCAAAGGCAAGCATTAAGAATAAATTAGTGAAGCGTTGATTTCTATGTGCAATGTATTCGAAATGATTTCATATTGCACAGTGTAAACCACATTAAGTTAAATTTATATTCATAATTAAATTCATATTTTTTTCTCGTTAGGGATCATATATATACCTGCTTCACATAAATTTATATTCAGCACCGAATAGACATTAAGTTAGGTAGATAAAAATGTACAAATTTGAATTGGTAGGCTATGATGTGTTTGGTCACGAAGTCACCTAGTCCTATAAATACGTATATACATACATACATATATATATATGTCTTGTATACCAAATTTTGGTTACCAAAATCATCACGATACGTGTATATGCTATATTCGCATTCATGGACCTTTACGATGAATCATATGCCTATATGTGATAGGGTGGCATCTTATCCAAAGTTTTAATTTGGTTATTAAACAATCTTTTTTATTACATGTTAAACAATAATTGGTGATTAGTGATACATATAATTAGTAATTGGAATCATTAGAACCTGTGAGAGCATGCAGATTGTTCTCGATTTCACGGCACGCCATGACTGCTTCGACGGCATGAACCCTCACGTGTTGTTGCAGCTGTTCCTTGAAACTGCATAGCACTATAAGATATTGTGCCTGCCCAATTATTTTAATAACAATCATTACTAATCTCTTTCATTTCGGTGAAACTGCATGGCACTATATATATACGCGCATATATATATATATATATACACACATACGCGTGTGTGTGTATTGTGTAGAAGAAAAACATCAAAGACGCATGTGAACATACGTCGTTGGTTTGCAATTTTTACATATTATCGATTAATTTTCGACTGTCTTAGAAATTCGTCTACGATTCTTCGTGATCAATTCGCATATTTCTTACTAAACCTACATATAAATAATGGTACATATTGTTATAACAATCTAATTGAAAATATCTAACTAGTCCCGTTTGAAAACGACATTTATCCTCCTGCGCTCCTTTTTCCGCAGCTCAAATTTTCCACTCATTAGAGTAATAACGCAACCAAGATAAATTATGATTTTGCAACCCCCTTTAAAATAAATATTAAGGAGCAACAAAAGTTCATCTTCACACAAACACACACAAGCTCATAACATATATATCATATGTATGTGGTTGTATATAGTAATAACACATATTATACTAAAGAAATAAGCATATGATTTGTTGAAATTAATCCCTCCAAAATCTAAATAAAACCCTAAAATGACTTAAATCAGTTTTACCCCCCTCTCCATATATAGAAGCCGAAGCAAAAGATGGAACAAAATTAACGCTTACGAAGGATCGTGTGTCATGAACTATACACACTTAATGGATAAAAAAAACACAAAATCAATTGGTTTCACATGATGGGTACCAGGAAATTATCGAGCTCGTGGCGGTCGTGATGGGAGGAGGAGAGAGAAGAGGAGGCGGCGGCCATGGCGGCGTAGGAACGGAGAAGGTGATGAGACTGAGAGAGCTGAGAATCAATGGAGGGAAGCTGATCGATTGGAGTGGCCACTCTGAGGCAAGCGACGTGAGCTGCCAGAAGCTGTTCGTACATCGGATGCGTCGCTATCTCCGCCTTTAGCTGTTTGTTCTGCTCTGCCACCGCCGCCGCCATCGGATCTCTTACCTCTCCTCCGCCGCCGCCGCTGATGTTGCTTCCGCCGCCGTGGCCTCCGATTATCCCTAGCGCCGCCGCTTCCTGCATACTTTTAGAGAGAGAGAGAGAGATTTGGTGTGGGATGCCAGAGAAACAAAGGAGGAGGGTTATGTCTTGTCCGAAAACCCTAATCCTGGGATTTTTATGCTGATTTTTTGTTGTGTCTCCGTACCTAGAGGGGGGAGAGAGAGAGAAATCTAATCAGTTGAATTGGTGAAACAGAGACAGAATTGAAGCGAGAGAGGGAGAGAGAGAGAGAGAGAGAGAGAGAGAAGAGAAGGCGATTCAGGTAAAAAAAGAAGGTAACCGGAAGGGATCATCGGATAAAAGGCTGTTTCAGCTTCTGATAATATATATTATTATTATATTTACTCAGTTTTCTTTTTAAAAAAAAATCTTTTTGTACGATTTTGAAATTAATACATGTGTGTGGGTGTCACTGTGTATAGATGTGTTTTACAGTGTAATGGTTTAACTAGTGACCGCATTACTATGTAAAACCTCAATATATAGATTATGAAATTTATTTTACCATATTTTTTTTATTATATGTACAACTATAATTTTTTATCAACTTTGAATGATATTATTTTTTTATAACCAATATTTATTATGAATGAACTCAAAATTCATGATAAACTGTATGTAGTTTTAATAATCCATTATGAATCAAATATTCTAGATAATTAATCATCAAAATTGATGTGGATTACATGGCGATTCGAATTAACGTTAGCTAGTTTCAACTAAGGTTTTGTGTAGGTTATGTTCATGTTTCCTAAGGATTTTATATGCATCAGCTGAATGCTTTCAATTGTTATTTTATTGGAGTACTTTATAATTAAAACACTCATTTTTATATTGATTTTTTGTTCACACAAATTGTCCTTTATAAAAAAAATAAGTATGTGTAAAAGAAAATAACGTGGTTTAAAGGGAAAAAATGAAGCAGATGAGATGGAAATAAAATGAATAAAGGGTGCATTTTAATTTCATTAAATTGATTGGTTGGAAATCTAATGTCTTGCTTCATTGTTTGTTTAATTAATGAAATATATTTTGTATTATTATTATTATTATATTATTATATAAGAGGGATTATTAGGATTAGGTACGACTACCGGTCATTTCGTTAGCCATGAGGAGGTACTATCTTCGTATTTGTTAATGATTTATTTAAATTTAATTAATATTTAATTGTGCAAGTTGTTGCGTCACTTTGTTAGGCCTCATATCGCTATCACGACCAGAAAAAATAAAAATAAAAATAAATTTATATTTTTTTATGGCATCATAATTTCATTAATTCAAAATATATCGAGTTAGAAAACATGATACAGCATGCAATTTTATAACGTCGTAGAAAATCAACGTGTTAATCTCCAAGCAGTACGTCCGCATTATACGTATAAATTCATGCTTGCGTATATGTACACGAACATAATTATACTAAATAAGTTGAATTTATTTGAAATTTGGATAGAATCGTTGAAAAATAAATAAATAAAAGAATCTTCCTTTTTCATATAAAGAATCTTTATTGCTTCCCCGTCACAAATCCCAAGGAAAGACCTTTCATTCGCAAACTATGCTAAATCAATGGCCAAAGGGGACCAAGAGATTTTGCAGATTCCTATGCAATTGGTGATTTTATTCACCCTAATTAATTAAAGAAACAGAAAAATGCGTCTTTTTGGTATGACAAAAAAAAAGGAATTACTTTTTTCCTTTAACATGATATTTATGCAGTTATATACACACAAACGTGTATATATAACCATATATAAATCTCTATACATATATATATATATATATTAAATTTTTAACACGCTTCAAAAGTGGCGCATGCAATGCACGTACCTTTATTTATATATCTTTATTTCGTGCATGTCCTTGTTTCACATATATTAAATAATTTATATAAATATTACATGTATATATATATATATATATATTGTATTTAAGGACAAGAGAAAAAAATGATGAGGATACGGAGATAAATAAAACCATTGTTGGGAGTGGTGGGTCACTCTCGGTGACACCTACAAGACCTATCCTCTGCAACATTTTGTTAACGATAATAAAGTTGTGTCGGATACTTCCTCTATTTTGTAATTACTTTTCCCTCCTTTTCATTTGGTGTACATATACATATACATATACATATACATATACATATACAAGTGCGTGTATGCATAGCCTTATATACACATATGTCATCTATATTGATTTTGAGACGATTTAGAGAAAGCTTTGTTCCACATTTACTTTTGTTGGAATCAGTTTTTTTTTTTGTTATTTTTAATAACATTTGCTATGAGTTATCCCTTAATTCGAGTCTCCTTATATATAGTTTTAGAATTTTCACATAATCTTGTCCTAAATTTAGACCATTAATTTAGATCCAACAATGACATATATTCATTTCTTTTATAAAAAAAAAATCCATCATAATCTGCATAAGTGATCCTATAAAGCTTGTTTGACAAACAAATTTAGATGGATGATTGAAATATATTTTATAAGTTTAAAGTTAGTTTAAGATTATATATATATATATGGTCAAGCGCAATAACTTTTTTTTTTTTGTGGGTGGGTGGGTGGTGCAATTGTGATGGGTTAGAAGGAAAAAGTATGCCTAACACAGGAAATTGAAGTTCACATATGGAGTTTCATTGAAGTAATTTATAGGATTCTACGCAAAAAGCAAAAGTTTATTTTGTTTTACGCTATCAAATTAATCGCATCTTTTTTTTTAAAAAAAAAATCATCATTCGTTCTTTATAATTTGATACCCTTAAAGCACTAAAAATAAGAAAAAATAAATAAATTTATAACAAAATAATGGAAAATGGAAAAAGACGATTACAATTTACAATCGTATTTGTTGAGGAAAAAGCAATGATGGAAAATGGATAAAAAAAGGAAGGGAGAGAGAGAGAGAGAGAGAGAGAGAGAGAGAGAGAGAGGTCAATGTCACAGCTGTTAAGAAGGACAAAGAGTTGTCGTAATCTTAAACCTAAGATTAAGACATGGGAAACTTTGTGGTCCCTCTATTTTGCCCCTCCGAAAATTACTTCTTATCTTATAATTTACACTTTTTTAGTTTGGCCCCCCACATTTTAAATCCTTAGAAATTCAAAATATTATTACAAGCTAAAAAACGTTCTTTCAAAGAGAAAAGGGTCGTAAACTTTATATTTCTCTTTAAATCCCATACAATATACCCTTTTAAGTTTGGTTTAATAAAAAAACTGAAATCGAATAAAATCCGATTCCGTTTAGATCGGTTTTGAATTGGATATGATTTATATTGGTTTAGGCTTCCGTTGGTGGTAAGAAGGACCGAGCAAGCTAAGTTTGGTTGAGGTTCATTGGACTAAACATTTGGGTTGTGTTCGGATAGATTTTTCTTTTCCCAATTTAACGAGAACTGGTTTTAGGTAATAATTGACTATATTAGAAATTCAGGGTCAAATTTAAAAAATGTTAAAAGGTTTGGGATTCAATCTCAAGAAGTTTATGGGGTAGCTCAGAAGACCAGAAGAAATTAGTAAATGGGCTCAATCTAACAATTTAAGTTAATTAAGGCCCAAATAACATCTCCGTTGGGTATTTCCTCAGCCCAAATACTTGTGAATCTAACGGTTAGCGAGGTACGGTTACGATTCGTTCTCCAACAATAAAAATATTCTTTCAAAGAAATTTACGATTTTTTATGTAAGCTTTTAAAATTCAATTTTCAGTTATAAAACATTGTAACTGTTCCATTTTTACATCGAATTTGATTTATAAATAACTTTTTTTTAATAAATTGTGAATTTGCATTTCTCAAAAGTGAGGTATCTTTACAAGGTGTCTGGTACACAAGTGATAAGGGGGAGACCCATGCACAGGTTCACAAAAGGAGAATATGAATACAACAAATGCAATTTGGAGGGCGTTAACCCTTGAGAAAGAACCGGTCTTTGAGGTAGGATGTTGATGGTGGTAGAATGCTCCTGATGGTTCGGTCGATCAGCCATTGCGGAGCAGAATATTCCCGCATTTCTCTCCTTCCATAGTTCAGCTACTGCAACCTGGATAGCAAGTTTGAACAGGTTGATCGATGTCTGATCTTCTGGAAAATATAGTTGGGTTGAAGGCTCAATGAACCTATGGATTATACAAAAAAAGAGTTGATGGATGTTTGGATCGGTCATCAGATGGATTGCGAAGCCATTCTAGGCAGAGGCCGATGTCTAGAGGGGGATTATCATGGCATCGACCTGCAAATCGTAACCGTACCTCGCTGCTGTACCTGCATTCAAAAAAATAAATGTTGATGGTTTCTGGTACATTTTGGCATGGCAGAAGACACATCCACCATCAGCCCACGTTTCTATGATTTTTTTTTTTTAATGGAAATATAATTTTGACATTAGTAAATATAGATCCACGATATGAATCCACAACAATATCCAAGTTTTCTTCTTTTTGTTTTTTCATTATTCATGAAACCCTGAATAGCATATTGCTAAATAACCGGAAATCTCACTCAATCCAATCGAACCGGAGATACCAAAGGCTGGTTAGAGAAAAAAGCCTTCAAGTTACGAAGAGCCATCTCTGCAACACAGTCCAAAGACTCGGGCGTAAGTACAGCCACATGAGGAGACAACACAACATTGTCCAAACCAAACAGCTCTTCAGGCACATCCGGTTCTTTCTCAAACACGTCTAAACCCGCACCCCCAATCTCGCCCTTCACCAGACCCGAGACCATCTCCTTCTCATCGATCAGACCACCTCGGCCCACGTTTATTATTACCCCGCCTTTCCCGAGCTTTTCCATCACCTCTCTGTTGATGATATGGTGAGTTTTGTCCGTCAGGGAACAGCATAGGATGAGAATCTCATTGTCCGCTGCCAAGGAGACAATGTCGGGGTAATACGCATATGGAACGTCTGCTTTTCGGGTTCTTGAGTTGTATGAGACGATGCAGCCAAAGGGTTCGAGTCTTTTGGCAACTAGGGATCCGATGCTCCCCAGTCCAACTATTCCAACCCGCTTGCCGCCCATCTGCAATTCGAAGGAAGGACACCGTATTAAGTTACCGGCAAGAACTAAGAAATATGCCAAGAAAAGAAAGGTTGGACGTTTCTCATAATGCTAAGCTTTCCTATCACAGTTTCGCCTCTGTTACCGGATATCAGACTTGTCCCGAGGGTTCTTTTCAAACTTTGAGAATGAACAACAGAAAATATTTGCCATAGTTACATTGTTACAGACACCATTCGGGTGTTTTTATTGAACTTAATGCAAACCAAAGGCCGTGTTCTTTCTCTGAAATTAGAAACACCCGCATTGGAGAGTCCCCACAGAACCAACAAGAACCACTCAGCATCTCTATTCTCTGCCGAATTCTCTTCACCGGCCACCGATCATGGTGGCATAACTTGCCATACTCTCTCGCCAGTCTTCTCTCCATCATCTCAGTGATCAGATATTTGCGAATTCTTTGCCATATTTTCGATCACATCTGTACAAGGCATTGTACAATGACAGTGTGCTTACTGTTTTAATCACAGCTTACCCCTTTCGATCACTTCAAAATCACGCAACAGTGTGCGTTGAAGAAAACATGATTATGCGACAAAAATTCCATGTAAAAGACGAATTTTGAATCCCTGTCGGACTAGAGATTCCACATATGATGGAGAAGATGCCTTATTTTATTTTTATTTTATTTTTTTGATGAAAAGAGGCCTTATTTGGTATCGATTCGACAGAAAATGAGTATATCACTGATCAATTGGAGATTTGAAATTGAGGGGTTTCGATGAAAACAAACCTTGAATCCTAGAGGGTATTCCCCATTTCTCGCCCAGTGGCCTGACCGGACGAATCGATCGGCGGCGGAGATGCGGCGGAGGACGTCGAAGAGCAAACCTACGGCGAAATCCGCCACGTCCTCGGAGAAAGCGTCGCCGGCGTTGGTGACGGCGATGCCGCGACCCTTGCACTCGGCGACGTCGATATGATCAACGCCGACGCTGGTGCAAACGATGACCTCGAGAGAAGGGAGGAGGGAGATGATCTCGGCGGTCACTGGAACTAGGCCGACGACGGTGATGGCTCGTACGGACTCGACGGCAGACCGGCGGAGGAAGACCGGGATCGGGTCCGGCGAGGTATGGGCAAAAAGAAGGCGGAAGTTTCTGCTCAAACGGTCGTCGAGGAATTGCAGAGATGGTGATCGGAGAACAACGATAAGCGGCGGATCTGCCATGGATGAGAAGAAGAGGAATTGCTAGTGAGATAGAATTGTAGATATGGAAGCTTCCACCGCTCGATTATGGATTTCTGACGACATTTCTCCATAGCTAAGCTCGGAGTTAGCGATTGATTATAGTAATTTAATTATTCAATTATATTTACCATTTTTATTATTTATTTATGACATTTATAGAAAAAAAATGGCGCCATTGTGGACATGAAAATGTGAAGGTTGTGTCAACTGAATCCGGACCAAGTTACAAACCATTGAAGGTGGGAATTCAGATTTCATTCCAAATTTATTGTATAATTTTATAATTAGATGGTAAAAATGAAACATTAATTCTAAAATGGGGTGGCAACTAATTTGCTTAGATAATTGTATCCTCCTTCATTTACTTATATTACACATTATAAATATGGTTTTGCATACTAATTTAATCAACTATAGAAATTTCTGATTTTTTTTTTTAATTTTCTTCTTAATAAAATTAAAAGAAAATATTCAAGTTTTTTAAATCGATAATTATTGCTCAATAAATATAATTGTAAACGATAACAGCAGGTGTCGTGGTGTAGTTGGTTATCACGTCAGTCTAACACACTGAAGGTCTCCGGTTCGAATCCGGGCGACGCCATTTTCAATTTTATTTATTCATTTTAAAAACTAAATACTAAATTTTTTTCCACGATTTTGTTATCCTTTTCATATTTTTGGTACCAGGCTTTACGCCACCTGTTTTGGGCCCACCAAAATTGGGCCGCACATGGAATATAACAGAATGTATCCACCCCCACATGTATGTAGGCCCACCTTTTATTTTTCCATTTATATTTTTTATAATTTCGTTATCATAAAATGTGATACATAATATATTTTCTAGATTGCAACAAAACATACAAAAACACGGATATAACGGTTTAAATATTCCACGTAAAGATAAGAAACAAGCGATGTTACTGTCCGAAATCGAGATCGACCGGTATCCAATCCAAAAGCTATGCGATGGGTTCTCACCGTAAAAAAAAACAAACAAACAAGCAATGGTGTATAAACTAAAAATATAAATAGTCAAGTCGGGAAACGTACCAAATCATTTAGTTTTTTGTTAAATAGAATAATGAATTTGGATATTTATATTAGTAAAGATGACGTGGCGTAATCATTTACCATCATTTTGAGGACTGTCTTCGAACTGTGCATACAAAAAGAGACAGTAATTTATTTATTTAATTGGAAAGCAAAAAGACAGATGGGTTTTCTGCTGGCCCTTGGAAGGAAAGACGACTTGTTGTTGTTGTACACTTGTACTTTTTTTCTTCTTCATATTTTATTTATGGATGGACACTAATTGTGTATTGTTTTATCTCCTAAACATATATAATATATTGTTGTCATAACATATAACTCATCGGAATTGAATCCAACCTCAACATAAATCGATATGACATTTTTAAAATTAAAAAAAATCAGAATACCATACAAATTCAAAAAGGGATATATAAATAATCGAAAAACGAATATATCTAAAAGGATAAATCAACATATTGCTAGACTTAGCTGTTTACTTTTTTTTTTTGACTTCCTTCTTTATCACTTCTTTTTCTTTTTACGAAAAGAAAGGGAAATAAATCATTTGCATAATTGCAATTATAGAGAATACTAAAAACATAAAGAAAAAAAAAAGTAAAGCCGGATGTCAACGAACAGCATGTATGACACAGTGGGCAAAGTGACTAAATTTGCGAAATTATAATAACGTTTTTAATGATAAAAATAAATTTTTTTATTAAATGGCATCAAATTTTGGGAAACTTGAGGATATATTGGCTATTGCATTCTATTGACCCGATCCCCATATCTTGAATAGATCTCGTGAATATATATTGTATTTAAATGGGATTTTAAAAAAAAAATATTCTGTGTAAAACTTTTATTTTTATTCTATAGATATAGAGAAACAGATGGTCATAAAAACGGAAGAAACAAGAAAGGAAGTAAAGATACTGATATTTATATGAATCATATAATTGTGATCATATTAAAAATACATGCAACTTTTAAAATAAAATACGTGTATTTCCCTCATTAATAATAAGATATATTCCATTTTACTTATCTATCAATTACAAACCAGTTGTGACTAGATAATATGTATTAAAGAACAAATGGTTCTTGTACAATTATTAAGATATTTTTCAGTAAAAAGGCATCATAAATTTTCAACGGTTTGTCCAAAAATTAATTTTATGATTTTTTTTTTGCATATTCTATAGTTTTCATTTGTCCAATCATAATTCGGTATCTTTAATCGAAGTCATTTAAAAAAATAATAGTTATCTAGATGCGACAATTTTGGAATTTCCTTAATAAAAAATAACTTAAGGTACATCTAATCTAATAAAGAAATATAAGTGCATCTTATTTACGCAAATGAGGTAAGTAAACATTAAATAAATAAAATAAATGACTGAATATTTATCTATTTTAAGGCCAAATCACTGTGTAACGTCTGAGATCTATCTCCGAATCATCGAACGGTTGACACTTCGTCACTCCCCTGAGCCGCGTTTCAGGCGATTAATTCTCCTTAATCTCAATATGGACCTGTTACCGACACTCTGACCGTGTTTGGGCTCTCAACACAGAGACTTCAAATCTTAAAAATAATGTTTTAAAAATTCCCTCTTAGCTATCTGATCCAACGGCTGAAAATCTCTAAGATGAACCCACAAATCTGAATCTCCACCGTCCGATCAAATCCACGTAAGCATCATCATCTTCATCTTTTATCTTCTCCATCTTAGGTCTCTCTCACTCCATCTCTTGTCAGATACACATTCTCCAAGAGAGAGAGCTTCAACAATGGTGGAAGCTCAGTCATGGACGACGCGGCGGATGAGCAACCCTAGGTTCGACGCCTCCGCCGCCGCTGTTGCAGCCGCCGGAGTAACCGCCGCCTGCGTCGCCGTCGACATACCCTCGACCCCGCCTCACTCTACCTCCTCCGGAAAAGGGTACTCCTCCTTCACTGCTGGCATATCTCCGGCGTTCCTAACGGCGGCGATAATCGCCGGGTGGTTCGGCTCCAACATCGGCGTCCTCCTCCTGAATAAGTACCTCCTCGCTTACTACGGATTCAGGTACCCAATATTCCTCACGATGATCCATATGCTCTCATGCTCCGGCTATAGCTCTGCCGTGATCAACCTCGCCGGAATTGTGCCACGTCAGCACATCCTATCCCGCCGGCAATTCATGAAGATTCTCGCCCTCTCCGCCATCTTCTGCTTCTCCGTCGTGTGCGGGAACACGTCACTGAGATACATCCCTGTCTCCTTCAACCAAGCGATCGGAGCAACGACGCCATTTTTCACCGCCGTATTCGCCTTCATCATCACCTGCAAGAAAGAATCCAGCGAAGTGTACTTAGCTCTCCTCCCCGTCGTTTTAGGGATTGTGTTGGCTTCGAACAGCGAACCCAGTTTCCATCTCTTCGGATTCCTCGTATGTGTCGGATCCACGGCCGGGAGAGCTCTGAAATCAGTGGTTCAGGGGATTCTCTTAACATCTGAATCTGAGAAGCTTCACTCGATGAATCTCCTCCTCTACATGGCTCCAATGGCGGCCTGTATTCTGTTGCCTTTCTCTCTCTACATCGAGGGCAATGTCCTCAGGGTTCTGATCGAGAAGGCTCAGACAGATCCGTTCATCGTCGCCTTGCTTGTCGGAAACGCGACAGTGGCGTATCTGGTGAATCTGACGAATTTCTTAGTGACGAAGCACACGAGCGCTCTGACATTGCAGGTGCTCGGCAACGGAAAGGCGGCGGTGGCGGCCGGAGTGTCGGTGATGATTTTCCGGAATCCGGTGACGGCGATGGGAGTCACCGGCTTCGCCGTCACGGTCATGGGAGTGGTTCTCTACAGCGAAGCTAAGAAGAGGTCCAAATTGGCTAACCACAAGTGAGGAATGAGGAGAAGATTGGTTTAAACCGGTTAAGTGATTCTTCTTATTCTTTGTAATTTTACGGTTATTTTCGGTTCCATTGAATTGGGAGAGAACGGTTTACAAAGGTGGTTTCCAATTGTATAATATTGTGGTGAGATTGGGTGGAAAATATAGTATACTTTCTTTGCGCAATTGGTGATGTCATCAGTTGTTTTGTTAAGCGGATTCGTAAAAAATTTGAACTTTGTTTATCCCAATTCAGATGTCGGATTTATCACGATAGAGATTTCCAAAACAATTCTCCAATTTCCCAAATCTGTCAAATAAAATGCCCAATTAAAAATTTAATACATAAAATCTTCAAAATTAATAACCGCAATAAAACCAAATTAATCTTCCGTTACGGATCCCAATATATACCAAAGCTGCATAACCTCTCCAATACTGAAGAAATCTCAAAATTTCCCCAAAGTTTCTCTCTTTTTGATTTCAATAGGTTAAAATTTGAACTTTGTTCATCCCAATTCAGATGCCAGATTTAACTCGATAGAGATTTCAACAAAAATTCTCCAATTTTCTAAAATCTGCCAAATAAAATGTCCAATTAAAAATTTAATAAATAAAATCTTCCAAATTAATATCCGCAATAAAACCACATTAATCTTCCGTTATAGATCCCAATAGATACGCATAACTTCTGCAACAAGTAAGAAGTTATGGAAGAACCCAATAATCGCCAATTCAGACACAACAAGCTTCACAATCGAACACGTCAATCACATGTATATGAACATAGATACACAACACATATGTATATAACACAGATACACAAACAAGTAAATACATACATACATACATTCATGTACGATTATATGTATGGCGTTACGGATCAAAGCTGGACATAAAATCTGCTTTTAAATATGTTTACGCATTAGAACCGCAGACCTGTGCTGAAGATCGATCGACGTTAAAATTTGTAATCTGATGAATTCGGGGAGGAGAGATAGAAACTAGGATTGGGCACAAATACCTGAAAATCGGGTATCCACCAGATTCTCGTCTCGTGGATACCCGATTTTAGGGTACTCGTACATATTCAAATTCAAATCTAAATCCGACTTTCTCAAACCCATGAATCATACTCCAAATTCGGATAATAGAATTTTGAACAACATATTAGTGCGGGAACCTTACTAGTTTAGTTATAAATAATTATACCTTATATCTATATAATATTTTTATAAAATATATTATTTTAGATTAAATAATTTCATATTTTGCAACATTATCTCAAAAAACTAAGTTTATTATTATTTATCTATGTTTTTCTCTTCATATACTTTTATAAATATACCTTATTTTTTAGAAATTTTTTATATAAATATTGTTGTTTTTCTTAAATAAACCGAATCTGGATATCTGCAATTACCTGGACATTATTCCAGATACCCATATCCTGTATATTCGTAAACCACAGATCTCGAACACAAATCTTACAATTAAATATCCAAGACTTCAGAGAACACAAATCAAAATACACCGGTTTGTTCGAATATCTGACCCATGCCCAGTCCTAATAGAAAAAACACCATCAATTAAAAAAATATTTAAAAATAATCTGTTACTTTTAATTTATTATAAAAAAAAAAAACTATGAAACTAGCACTTATGAAATACGAAAAGCAAAAAAGATGGTTCCCTAAGGTATGGGATCATTTCAGTAAACTTCCAACAATCCAAACAAATGCCTCTAATGTATTTTTTGTAATATTTTTTCCTGTTTATTAATTATTAGTATTCTTTTATAAACGAACCGAAAACCAAAAACCAAACCGATATCGAATGATTTTGTATTACACTATTTGGATTCGATATTATAAAAGATATTTAGTTCATTTTCGTGATGTGGTTTGTATTCGTTATGAGTTCTACTTTTTAATTGGTTTTGAATTGTTTATATATGTTTTTAAAAAATAATTAGAAAAAATGGACTCATTTACCCTCTAGGATTTATATGATTCTGGGCCCAAATCAAATTTGTTATATTTTTTTATATGTTTTTATTAATTCACTTTGGATCCGATGGATGGGTTCGCTATGTTAATAATAATCAGTAAAAAAACTTATTACTTGTTTAACGAGCCATTAGACGTTAGTTGTGAAATGTCGATATATTAAAAAAAAAAAACAATTTGAAAAAATGGACTCATTTACCCTCTAGTCCAGCATGATGAACTCAAACAAAAAAAGAAAAGAAAAGGAAGAATCTCATATGAGATACGATTACCGTTCATCGTTTGGTTGCTTGCTACCAAAGTAACAAACACTGACTCGTTTTCAGATTATGAGTTATCGAATGCAAAGGAAGGACCTTTACACCCTCAGATCAAATCCTTCAGATTTCTCTCTGCATTTCAATGGCGCCGCGGAAGATGCAGATCACAAAGTTTCTTGGCGAGGGTTCTTATGGTTCTGTCAAGCTCGTCAAGTTCACCGTCGAAGGAGGTGGCTCCGTTTACAACGCCATGAAGACAAGCAGCCCGGAGAATTCCGAGAATCTTCTCAAAGAGTTTGAGATTCTTTCCAAGTTCCGAGGTTGTCCAAGGATCGTCCAATGCTACGGGGACAGGGTGGTACAGAAGGAGACTAAGAAAGGCGACAAAGAATTCAGAATGTTCATGGAATATGCATCAGGAGGCACTCTCGCCGATCTCATGGACAGACACGTCAATCGAAGACTGCCCGATCGGTTGATCAAAGAGTTCACCCGCATGATTCTCGAGGGTTTGGTTGTCATCCACGGACACCATTACATTCACTGCGACCTCAAACCCGGCAACATCCTCGTGTTTCCCAAGGAGATGAGTACATGCAGCTCGGCCTATGAGATCAAGATTTCAGACTTCGGGTTATCGAGAGAGGTCAAGAAAGGAGATTCGCAGACTCCGTTTATCGGAACAACGCAATACATGTCACCAGAGTCAGCCTGTGAAGGCGAGATCGGGACGGCACACGATCTGTGGTCGTTGGGATGCATCGTGCTGGAGATGTTCACTGGAGTGCTTCCCTGGTCGACAAGCGAAGATTATTACATATTGCCTTTCCTAGCGATTGGTCATGCGCCCAAGATTCCAGAGACTCTGCCTTGCGACGCAAGAAATTTTATAGAAACTTGCTTTGCAAGCAATCCGGAAGAAAGAAGCAGCGCTACCATGTTGTTGGAGCATCCATTCTTGCACGAGGAGAAGCCTCAAGTGGACAACATTGTTAGATGCGCTCATAGGATGCCTCCGCCCGGGTTCGACGTTCTTCCGCCTGGATTGACATGAAGAAATCACCTAGAGCTAAGTCATTCTATCATTCGTACATGTCATTGTGAATTTGCATGCATGTTTTCTTCATTTTTATTGCATTTGTTTTCGAAAAAAAGAGCATATAGTAGCATTGCGTGCGGGATTTTAGGAGCATGTACATAGCTTTGACATGGTATCTTTTCGTTAGATGCATATAGGAACACGTGCATAACCGTTTTGAGTCCGAAGGTGGAACATGATGATAAGTAGGGAACATACGGTTTGCATTGCTTAGATAACAAAGGGAAAGACGTTCTTAGATTGCCTAAGACTTAGATGGATTGTCGAACTAAACTGTTCAGGAAAACCTGTTATCGTCGGTTACTAGATTGTGGGATGAGTCGGTTTCTGAGTTTTAGAAAGAATTTCTGTTCCCCGAACCAAGTGTATATATCTCCCTAAGAATCATGACGACCAAAGTTATAGGTTTGCGAGGTCCACCGGACCGAAAAATACCTTTATACTCCATCCCGACACTCCTCTATCACGTTACTCGTTAACGAATATCGTTCGAGGATATGAGTGTATCGAATTTCGATAGCTCGGGTCTAAGTTGTGGGGCGGGTATAAAATAAAAAGATAACCATCAACTTCAACGTCCTAGATGCTCGGAAAAAATCTGACACTCCTCTGTCCGCTACTCGTTAACGGAAATCGTTCGAGGACATGAGTGTATTGAATATCGATAGCTCGGGTCTAAGTTGTGGGGCGAGTATTAAAAAAAAGAGAGATGACCGTCGACTTCAACGTCCTAGAGGCTCGGAAAAATTCCGACACTCCTCTGTCTTGCTACTCGTTAACGAATATCGTTCGAGGACACGAGTGTATCCAATGTCGATAGCCCGGGTCTAAGTTGTGGGACGAGTATCAAATAAAAATATATCCGCCGACTTCAACGTCCTAGTGGCTCAGAAAAATTCCGACACTCCTCTGTCCGTAAATCGTTAACGAATATCGTTCGAGGACATGAGTGTATCAAATATTGATAGCACGGGTATAAGTTGTGGGATGAGTATATCATTAAATATATAACCGCCAACTTCAACGTCCTAGAAGCACGGGGTGGGGAAAAAAAAGGGATTATACGGTATTCGGATTAGGGTCAAAGCATCCTATGTGCCTAGGTTAGGAATGGTTCGAGAGATGTGTTTGGAAAGGAAACAGAAATCCCGGTATAGATTTCGGTTAGCGGTATAAGTCCCATGTCTAGTGATCAACTGTGTCTAGGAAAGCCTTAATGGGGAGGTTTGATTCCGTCTACGTCAATCCCGATGTTTATCGAGCATTCCATACCCGAATCTCGTTCTGATTTCGCCGGTGACTCAAGGACGCGTTTTTCACGGTTTTTTATATTCGAGAACAAGTAAAAGTCATACATTATAGTATATTTTCGGGTGTTTAACCTAGGACGTATATATAATGCATTCTCAGGCATCGTGTATCTCGTCCTTTGTTTCCGAGGAGAGTTTGGTTAAGCCGCTCAGAGCTTGTGTGAGGAAGAGAAAGGAATGAAGAAGGGAGGAGCAGCCACTGCAGGTGAAGGAGCCACGTTATGGAGAGGCACAGACCATATATCAATTATAAGCGTCGGGATGGGTTTTGGCATATGCTTGTTCTATAAGGGGGGAGCTCACAAAAATCAACTTCTCAGACTGTGTAACCCTTTTTCCATTAATCCCAATTCAGCAGTTTATCTGTTTTTGTTCCAAAATCCTAAGATCCCTCGCTATAAACATGGCGAATGAGCTTGCTTGTAGGTTTTAGATCTGTTTACGTTATCAAACAACAACTGTAACATTTCTCTATCAATGAAACCGCTTGTGTCCTTTTTTTTTATTTCATTGGCACGGTGGTCATACCATACACTTTTCCTAAGCATCAGAAGCAACAAGAACCAAAGTATGAAGAGCAAGTGCCTTGGTTTCCATGTCTCTTCCGTGTCCATCCCTGCCTTTGTCTGGGAAGATCAGCCGATACAAAGAGAATCCTTAGAAGGAGAAGAAACCTTTCATGGGAGCTCGCAAAACAGGCTCCGACACAAAGAGAATCGATAAATTCCGAGATCGTTCTCTATCGAGAATCATGCACGCATATTACATCCATAACAGAGCACCCAAAGATCAATATCCACAACACGAGCAAAACAGGAAACATGTCAACTGAACCTGCAATGGACGCTGACAATCAAACAGGCAACAGAATGGTCCTCTGAAACGCTATATCCTTTTGCGGTTGGATGTCCCATGAAGCAGCATGTTGTGCTTCCTCGGGTTTAATAAAATCCCGACTGATCTCATTGATCATAAATTCTCCGCAGAATGGACATTCACTGGCTACCGCGTCATCCAGCTCTGACCGGAGCTGCCTCGTGATAAAACACGACATGTCAAGCCAAATTATCCACGAAAAAAATGCTCAAGAGAAAAGGGTAAAACAAGAAACTAAATGAAGAACTTGGTTGCCTTGAAAATGAATCTGCTTACCTTCTCTGCAGTAGTTGTACCAGTCATGGTTTCATCGGGGAGACTACTATTTGCATCCCTCCGTGTTTCACTACCAAGCAACGTCAGTTGCTTCTGTAAATCGAGTATACGTTCGGCCTGAACCAGAATGGTTAAAACCCGACCACGAAAGGGAATCAACACATACAGAGCAGAAAATAAAACTTAGATTTCTGATTACTTCTACTAGTCCCACAAACCAAGCCTCGTACTCAATAAGCCTTCCCTATAAATTCCAGTTAGAGCAGATGTCTCAACTACGCCGAACGGAAAAACCACAGGAACCCAAATAATGAACTCGTAGTAGCTTGACTTACTTGGTTTTTGTCCGCGCAACTTGTGACATGCGTGATCAAGCACTGTGCATGGAAAGAATGTCCACAAGGGAACACATAGAACGGAGCCAGTGGTCCAGCTGAAGTGTACCCTTGGGCCATTCTGTAATCCCCAGTCATCATCAAGATTTTACGTTTACAGACCTGACAATTCATTGAGAAAGATAAAGTCTTTTGCAATGGATTTCATTCCTCAGAAAGAAAAGAGAATCCATATATTCTTATGCGAAAAAAAAGGTACGCAATCTTGGAAAGAGCAATACCCCGCATTCCTCGTCGCAGTCAATTACAGCGTATCTTTGAGTTAGTGCACTAATATCATTTCTAATGTTATCTGCACCACGTGTGGCATCATTCATTTCCTCTTTCAAATTCTCTATTTGCTTGTTGTAATCTTCTAGAGATGAACAAATTGCTTCCTGCACAAAAAAATATTGAAGAAAACCAATAGTTGATTGCTGAGGTATTATGAAAGAAAATCCCGAAATACAAGGAAGCAGAAGCAAGCAACCTGGAGTCTAGACCCATGACTAAGCTCTTGCACTTCCAACCAAAAAAAAAGGGAGATAAGGAATTACCTTGAAGTCATCAATTAAGGCAAAGTCCGGAAAGAACGGTAATATATCTTCAATCTTTAGAAGACCATCAGTTTCTTTGAGAAAGGCTATTGCCTTCCTTATGTTTTCCCTTTTAGTTCCTTTTTCCTGCTTGACTACATGCTTTGCAACCATCAGCCAGAGTTTCTTTCTTAAGTCTTCATCATCTTCTACCTTATCAGCTTCAGCCATGGCAAGCTCGGGATCGACCTGTTAAAACCAAAGACGAGTGACATTAAGGTGGTATCAAATCAATCTAAACCACTAAAATTGGCTAGCTAAACATGTGTGGCAATTCCTGAATCTGCCAAATAAGCATTTCTGTTTCGAACTTTCTATTACGTTGAAGATCTTAAATAGAGGGACTGTTACCTGAAGAGCAAGGGCTACTGCCTCTTCATGCATAGACATCATGCTATATATATGGACACATGCACGAGTTCTCTTTTCTTTCAGACAGAGGCGCAAAGCATATTTGGGATCATAGAAAAATTCAGGGCCATTCTCCCTCCCTTTTCCAAATTTGCATTGAAGGAACCGAAGGAGAGCGTTGTCATCTTCCTAGTTTATGAATAGAAAACCATTAAATACCGTATCATTTCAGCAGTCTCTTGTCAGAATAAGAAAGACAATACTCATAGTTGCCGCTTTCCAGTTGATCACTACATGCTGGAAGAAAACATCGACAGCTGGATACTTAAGTTTTAAGGGAATTTAATCGACGCAAATTTTAAGTAAAAGAACCAAAATAACCTGCTTGGTATATAAGGAGAGGAGCAAATTGTGGATCCCTGGATCTTCGTTATGCAAACGGTGGACGCAGAACTCGAGATATTTTATTACTTCATGTGTCTCGTTCCTGAATTTTCATAAGAGAAGACAATATATAATATAAAGGAAATAATTTATCTGTAGCCACTAGTCAATACAAAGACAATTAGAAAGAGCTGCAACATAGGCATGGTATAGCGATATAAGTTCTTGGTGGACCTGATGGCACAGTGTGAACAACTATATTTGGGGCAACATCACAATATTTGAAAAAGATTCTCAGTGGGAAACATCATTAAAGATACACAAAGCGTTCTATTGTTATCTGGAATTGTTAAATCTAAGAGCATAACTATCATAGTTGACATAAAGTTGAGGAGTGGAGAACGTTACTTCGCATGAGGTTCGCTTGAGTAACGCATCATTGCAGGAATTAGTCTCCTCGGATTAAGATCTTTGTTAGCCATCCATGCCTCCACAGTTTCATAAGCATCAAGCATAATAAGGTCTGGGGCAAATTTATACTGAAACATACCAAAAAAAAAAGATAAGTGTCAAGAAGAAACTAAAATTGGAAGGCAACAGACATTCACAGCATGTTAGAGGATCGATGTACCTGAAGTTCGACAGGAACTGAAGACTTTTGGAGAACCTCCAATGCTTTCTTTGCTTCCCCTTGCTGATGGCAGAAAAAAAATCAGATAATTGTGAATTGAACAAGCCTGGCCAAAATACCATATCTACTTATATTGTATCATTCGGGGAAAAAGAAACTCTTCTTGCTCATCACCTGAATATAATGATGAACAACAATTCCATACTGCTCCTTGAGATTAGCAAAGTATACCAATTCTTCAACCCTACCATAACTGTAAGGGCAAAAACGAAAGACAAGAGAAAGGAGCATTATTCTATATTTAAATTATTATGGAAATGTGCTTCGGGCAGTTTGCAGTAGCTTTTTTTGCACAATACCACCATTAGGCTATAATTATCATGCTGCAGCATTAATTGGTTTAAAATATAAGTTTTGAACCAGACGACGATGAGGATACTTATGAACTTACCTCTCCAGAAGTTTCATTGTGGTTGTCTCATCCAATACGTCTTTGCAGTCACTTAAGAAAGCCCGGAATTCTTGAACGATCAAGTGATATTCTGAACCACGATTTTCTATAGCAGCATCGTCTTCTAAGAGTAGTCGATTTATCTAGATAAAAAAATTGAACACAATATGAATAGAGAGGGGAAAACACAAGGGACTAAGCATTGAACTCCATTTCAACTGATTCAAACAACATAGATGAAGCTGATCTGCACTGAAGCTGTCAGTAATCAAATATGTCAACCAAACTTTTCTATTTGGCAGGGGTCAGAAGGTCTAGTCCAGTTTACTTCATGTCTTAGCAAATGTAGATAAACTGGCATTTGTCATTTATCACCCAGAAAAAAGAATAAATGATGTAGAGAGTAAGCACAACCTTATCCAGATAAAGCTCAGTTGCCCAGGTGGATATCATTGTTATCTGGCATTTGTCATCCTTAGAAAGATTATCAAGCTTATGCAGTAAGAACGTTCTTAAAGCATCCTGCAATACCAGAAGGTAACAGATAAAGACAGTGAACTCTCCAGCACAAATTTGAGATGCATCTCTCGTTTAAGCCTCATTTCAAAAGGATAACGTGAAATGATACCTACATCTCCGAGGTTATTTTAACAATTTAAATTTCAGAATGGATAGCTGCTACTTGGCTATTGCGGTCTATGTTCTAAGAATTTGAAATAAACATGATATGAAAGGCACAAACGTCTTGCCAATAAAAATATGAGCAATTTGTGATGAACGAATAAACAGTGGGTATATAATGAATGTGCTACATGTGCATACTTAATAGATGCAAAACAGAAAATGGCACACTTACAAGTAGCAGCCTTATATGCTTACCGGTTCATTTATGCTAATAAACTTCAAGGTGACCTCCTCAAAGGATATTACGTAGTTAATCTGCCAAGAATGAGTGTTAGTCAATAATTCACTTCTAATGAAACGCAGACTGCAAGAACAAAACAAAATTAGAAACAAGGATTTACCTTGGCATAAAATGATGCTGCTCGAAGATATTCTTTGGAGGCTAATGCAGTTTCCGCCTACAAAAGAAACTGCTCAAGTCAAACAAAACCAATGACAAAAAGACTCCGCTACCTTATGTAGATGGTAGACCACAGACAGCAGTTTTATGATGGAAAATTGCAGATATGGCACTGGGATCACTCATAGGTGGGAAAAAGACAATTAAGTCATGACACATTCATTCTACTAATTGATGGTAAAGGACATCAAGGATTACCTGAACTAAATAAACTTGGTCTCTCTGGAGAGGGTCCCGACAGTTTGCTAAAGCTGCAGCATAGTCTTTCATGTCCAGGTAAACCTTCCACATATCTCGGCCTTCATCAGTTACAGAAACCTAGAGAAGAAAGCCCAAGATAAGAGGAGAAAGCAAAAGAAATAATAGAATATTACTCGGGTAAATTATATAGACCATAAACAGAAATAAGCAAGCCAAAACCAAAAAAAAAACCTGGAAAATCGAATTTTGATCATATGCATAGAAAAGTCCAGCAGAGGCATCGCTACACAGTCCAATTACACCCCTAGAAGCTGAATCTGTTGTTAGGTCAAAGTGGAGCTCTTCAATAATTTGTTCGCTTATCCGATTCACAACCTACCAAGAATTTAGCAAACAAGTACATCAGAATGTAGCACACTTATCAAACAAAACATTTATTTTATCCAAATCAAACTCAAAATATACAAAGAGGAATCAGTCCTCTACGTTTTAACATACCTTAACCTTGTTTCCAATAAGGAGGAGGAAATGAAACTCTGAGAGTGCCATAGAACTCGGTTTGATTGCTTCCATGCCCTCACTCAGCTTTGAGTAGTCCAAGAGAGCCTTGTTCTCCACGAAGTTCTCATCACCATTTGGATAACTATCAACAAGTTTTGATTAAATTGCCAACATAATGGCTAATCCACATTCCACAAATTACATTAAAAAATGATCATCCAAACTTTGCCCTAGAAAATACCAAAAAAAGGTGATAGAATGAGGGCAACAAATATGTAGCTTATTATGTTTATTTTCAGAGGGATGGAATAGTATTTCCGTATGATCTTACCTGTGTTGAGCTCCAAAATTTAAGCCGCCATGATAAATTCCTGCTCCTGAAAGCCAAGCAAAATGAACTGCTCTCCGCTGCTTTATAAAGAAGTGTAGTTCGCTGAATGACAAGAAACATTACATCCAGAGAATATTATTAAACCTTGAAGATCATGAATCCCTGTGACTTGTTCAAGCATGCTTTATTATCTTTAAATACAAACCCCAAACATTCTTCATCTGCATTTCCAGCAGTATATGCAAAATGTACATTGAAAGCACAGTTGAGTGAAAAAAGAAAAAACTTGCCTGTTTGGTATTTCACCAGGAAGTTCCATAAAATGTACTGCACGTTCTTTATAGCTAGAAAAAACAGACTGGAACAAAAAGAATCAATGGTCAAGCAAACCATACCAGTGGGAGTAAATTGATTTTACTACAATCCTTCTAATGAAGTTCCGAAGGCACAGCACAGAAGGCATCAGAGATTGACTTACTTCAAGTGTTCCAATCCCAGTGAAAGAATAAAGTCGAGTCGGAGTAACCGCCATGACGTAGTACCTCATCCCGTTACTTATATTAGCTGTTTCCATCTGAGCATATATGTCATAAAATAGCAATGACTTCAGCATCCAAATAAAATGAGTCTTAAAAATAAGCTAACGTAGTAGAGGGACCCAGCTGTGCTGAACGGTTTCTCAACCTTTAAACTTTCATTCAGGAGGGTCACTCAACACCTAGTTAGCCAAAAGCCTACATTAGCAAATTATACCATATATCTTGATCATCCATGAACCGTACTTTCTGATATCAAAGTAGGAAAATGTATATGGTATAAAGCAGCAACTATTGAGATAACATGCATACTGATTATTCTAAGTTCATCTCAAAGTAGAAGGCATCACCTGCAAACCCATGAAGGCCTCCGGAAGTTCTTCTAGTTCAAACAAAAACTTGATGTACTTCTCTCTCTTGTCCTTCTCATCCACAGCCATCTCAAACAATTGCCCATTATGAGTACCTAGAACAATCTCCTTCGTGGAAGCTTCGTTTGACAATACCATATACAAAAGAGAATCAACATCCAGGCCTCAACCTTAACTTGTGTGAAAAGAATAGCCGCATAAATGGACTACAACCTTCAGTTATCTGTTGTCTGTTCCAACCAACTGCATTAACAACTAAACCTTTCAACCGGCTCAGCACCCGGGGCTTGGGCCACTTCGCATGAGTATAATAAGTTTCAGCTCCTGCAGGACCAGTGATCGTGCAAATGCAATGGCTACCGCCAGGATCAACAAAAACCTTGTGGACAGATTGCTCTCCAGATCGACCACCAGACAAATCTATATCTGCATTCAAACAACAACAAAAAATGATAATCACGTCTGTTGCTTGTATTCATAAGAAAAAGAAACTGCTTATTTGACAAATGTAACATTTACCAACAAAAGACACATGGATTATCATAAATTAGGATGCAACTGTGTACCATAAGAATCTCCAACGCCAAAATCATGCCGGATGATCCATCCTCTACTTGTTCCGAGAACAATTACATCATTGCCAGCAGCCATACAAGTGATCACACCTCGACCCTTCGTTGCATATCTCTCGAGAAGATCAACTGTAAACACTTGCCTATCCATTTATCCCTCTAAATTAACCCCAGCCCAAACACAGGAAAATAAGAAACAAAAACTTCAAATCGTCAAGTTTTTGACAACCAAATCGACCTCAGCACAATTACGCGCATATATATACAAGAAAAATACAGCGAATCAGCTATTGAAATCATATAGAAACGCATCGGAATACGACGACGAATTCGAAGTTCAAAATGAGAATCATCAGAAACATCCGAACGAAGTTAACAATAAAAAAAGATCGGTTTACAGAATCCTGAAAACTTGTCCGAATATGTTTACGCATTACATCATTGATCTGAGAGAACCCGATACCTGTGTTGAAGATCGGCGGTCGGCGATCGACGCCGGAGTTTGTAATCTGATGAAATCGGGGGGAGAGAGAGAAACAGCCCCGCCTTCCCAAAAAGGACAGAAAAAAAGGCCTCGCACATCCATCAAGACGTCGTCGTTTACAATTGTCAAATCAGGCCCAAACTATGGGCCATGTAATATATCCAAATATACGATTCTGGGCCCAAATTAAATTTGTTATATTTTTTATGTGCCCAAAAACCGATTTTTCGGTTTTATCCAAACCCAATTAACCTGACCCGAATACCCGTACCTACTTTGGACCCCATTTCGGGTTTTGGTTCGGGTTTTAGTTCGGTTACATTCAGATTCGGTTATAAAAAAATTATAACCATTCGGTTTTTACATAAATTTCGTTTCTATCCGGTTCGGTTATTTTTCGATTCAGTTTGGTAAAAAAATTCGTTTTTTTTCCAAAGAAATTGTCGATTTTTCAGTTATCCTTTTTATTAAATTCGATTTCGATTTTATTTTTTCGGGTTTAAAGATATCATAACTGTTCAGTTTTGATGTCGAGTTTGGTTCGGATATGATTGTTTTATTCGTTTCAGTTCGGTTCGATTATTCGGTTAATAACCAAAATTTCTTTGAATTCGCTATATTAATAATATTTATTAAAAAAATATTACTTGTTTAGAGAGCCGTTAGACGGTTTTTATACTAGTAGGATAATTAAAATACTTAAATAAAATAAACATTTTTTAGTCTCATGTCAAAGTAATTGGGACATCAGCTATTGCAAGTTTAGATTCAATCAAACAAATTATTCTCTAAATAATTTGTAGCAATTTTTAAAAAACAAAAAAGTTCAAACAACTTACAAAGGAATGATATTTCTCGAAAATCATTTTATCCTTTAGAGGTTATAATTTCATTTTCACAAAAAAAAACTTTTATTGTGTGAAAAATGGTGGTAGAAAAATAATAGACATTTAGGAAAAAGGGAAAAGAAATAGAAATATTAAATATAAGTCGAAAATTGAAATTTCAAAATATTAATTAAAGTTATTATAATCTATTTTTCTGTCCAAAAATCCAGTAAGATCACGCCTTTTTTGTGTAACTAATCATGCGGCTATGATTATTTCTAAGCAAGGCATAAAAATGGCTTAACCATGTGATTTCTTGTCAAAATCTGTCCTATTTACTTAATAACGCCAACCCCATTTTTGTCCCATCCATGTCTCAAATCACACAATTCTTTTCTGCAATAAAAAATAAATAAATAACCAAGTATTTTTGGCCGTCTATGTTTTTTTTAGAAGAAAATGGGATTTAATTAGAAAATTGAGAAGATATAAAAAAATATATATATATATATATATATATATATATATATATGAAGTCCTTATGCAAACTAGGGTCATTGTAACTTGTGGCTGCGGAGAATATAATGGAGATCATTACCAAAAAAAATAATGGAGAAAGACAAAAAAAAAACACAAACAAATTTGGTGGTGTGCAATTTATAGATGAAAATGTGAGGATATTATTCTGATAAATACACTCTTATCTTCTTCCTTTCCCAATGGAATATTCCTATAGAAAAATCAATTATTATTACTTTCCATTTCAAAATAATTATTGGTTTAGATTATTTCACAGTTTTTAAGAAAAGAGATAAAAAGTCACATATAAATAAAAATAATAACAATGTTACCATTAATAATTTATTAAAATTTGATAGGGATAAAATTTGAAACTATTGTAAAAAAATATCTTAAAAATATAGAATGACAAATATTTTAAAATATGAAAAATAATATAAAACTATAAATATTTTGAAACGTTCGCTAAAAATAATTAAATGCCTTAGATTTAAAATATATATATATATATTATTTACTGGCAAAAACGAATATAATATACATAGATCACACACGATATATCTTCAAAGATCCATTTTCCCCGCTTCATAAATTAGGTAAATAAAAAAAGGTGTAAATATTTATTTTTAATGCTACAGATGAAACAAGAGACAGATGCTGTAAGAAAATACAAAAAACGAGGGGACCGGTTATGGGCAATTTGGTAATTTCATTGACCTTCCTCTCCCTCCCAAAAATCTCAACGACTGAAATCTCCCCAACCCTTGAACCCAGGAACAGACGCCGCTCCCAGAAATTCCAACCCAATCGATTTACATCTCACACACACAAAAAAAAAAAAAAAATCGACTTTCACGTAAAAAAAACGAAAATCTCCAAAATCTCGATCGTTTCGTGCGTTCGCCGTCGACCCGATAACCCACTTACCCGACCCAGATAAATCCATTTCTCCCGGTGGAATCGGAAAGACTTCCTCATGAGCTCAGTATAATGACCCGCACCGGAGCTCGCCGGAGCCCAAAATCCGATTCAGAAACACCCGACGGAGGAGCAACCGTCACCGCCGCCGGAGGCGGAGGAACCACCGCGATGAGGGTCATCGTGCCATTACAAGGCGTGGTTCAGAATCGCGGAGGTTTGTTCCTGGGCTCCGTGATTCCATGTGCTCTCTTCTACTTCCTCCAGCTTTACCTGAAAAGGAACCGGAGGAACGAAACCGACAGGGGTCCGAGCGACCAGAACTCTGGCTCCTCACCCGGGTCGGGTTCGCCGGGCCCGACCCGGTCGCAATCCGCCGGCCAGCTCACGGAGCTCACTGGGTTGCCCCGGTCTCTCTCTCGGGCTCTTCTCTCGCCGAGGAATTCGAGCGGACCCGTTTCGGTTTCGGGTCGGGCGAATAGTGTCCTCAAGGGCGGGGATTCTCCGTACTACGTGGGGATGAAACGGGTTGAGGAGGACCCGTATGACGAGTCGGGTAACCCAGATGGCGTCATCGAACTCGGTTTAGCTCAGAACAAGGTTGGCTTTTTTCTTTTCTCGATGTTTGCATCGGAATTCTCGAAAAGTTTTTCATCTATCTGTTGATTTCCTGTCGTAAAGTTATCGACTTTCGAATCTTCTGTGTAGTTATGCTCGGATATTCTTGAGGACTGGCTTTCGGAGAATCCGAGGGAAGCAGTTTCAGGTGGATTGAGTATCAGTGGCATCGCTTCTTATTATCCCTCTGATGGACAGATGGAGCTGAAAACGGTTGGTCCCTCTAATCGTATACGTAGATCTCTTTATTAGTTCATCGCTTGAAGAACAATCAACCTATGATTATTGCAATGCTCATAGGAGGAGATACGGATTTGAAGAACGCATGTTGTTGAGGTCTCTCTTAGTTGTTGGATCCTGAAAATATGAACCTTACATCATTCAGATATGATATCTGTAAGTTTTCTGTTGGAAGGTCTCTATGTGTTACTGAAAAAAGTTTCTGGGTATTGTGTTTTTTGGGGGGACCAGGCAGTGGCAGGGTTCATGTCTGAAGCAACCAAGAACTCGGTTTCCTTCGATCCATCCCAGTTAGTATTGACTTCTGGTTCATCTTCCGCTATCGAGATTCTTTCGTTCTGCTTAGCTGATCCTGGAAATGCTTTCCTGGTTCCAACACCGTGTTCCCCCGGGTAAATTATAGTTCTTCACTCTCCTTTTTTGACTGGATATGATGCTGTGAGAAATGATGAATCTTTTATGAAAGAGTTCTTCTTTTGTGGCTGAGCTGAAACATTATCAATAGCTTCATCTTCTGTTGTACAGATTCGATAGGGATGTGAAATGGCGAACGGGTGTGGAGATCATACACGTTCCTTGCAGAAGTGCTGACAACTTCAACGTATCCGTGAGTGCACTTGATCGGACATTCTATCAGGCCAAGAAACGCGGTGTCAGAATCCGTGGCATCATAATATCTAACCCGTTGAATCCCGTGGGAAGTCACTTGAGCAGAGAGAACCTCTATGCCCTCTTGGATTTTGCCCGTGACAGAAACATCCATATAATCTCCAATGAGGTCTTTGCAGGGTCGGTCCATGGGAACAAAGAAGAAGGGTTTGTGAGCATGGCTGAAATCACCGATACGGAAGAGAATATTGACCGGGAAAGAGATTATTTCACAGTTTTTAAGAAAAGAGATAAAAAGTCACATATAAATAAAAATAATAACAATGTTACCATTAATAATTTATAAGAGTTCATATCGTGTATGATCTATCAAAGGACTTATCTTTTCCGGGTCTCAGAACAGGTGCCATCTATTCCTTCAATGAGAATGTTCTAGCAGCTTCAAGAAAACTCACAAGACTCTCGCCCGTATCATCCCCGACCCAGCATTTGCTCATATCTGCACTTTCCAATGCAAAGCTTGTTCAGACATTCATCAAAACCAACAGGGAGAGACTACACAAAATCTACACAGATCTTGTGAAGGGTTTGAAAGATTTGGGGATAAGCTGCACGAGAAGCAATGGAGGATTTGTGTGTTGGGCTGATCTGAGAGGATTCATATCTTCTTACACTGAGAAAGGGGAGATTGAACTGTGGAGCAAGTTCTTGAACATTGGCAAGATCAATGTAACCCCAGGATCTTGTTGCCATTGCATCGAACCTGGATGGTTCCGGTTTTGTTTCGGTAATTTGTCTGAGAATGATGTGCCTCTGGTTATGGACCGCCTTCGAAAAGTTTGTGAAACTTGTAAATCTCAGGATTGAAATTGGTATTTGATTATTTATTTGTTCACTTCTGCAGATTTTCCAGATGATTCACCAAGCTTTTCTCTAGTGTAGTACAGCAGTCTCCATTGGCCTGTTATTGCCATTTTTGTTTCCCATATTGTGCCAACAAAACTGATGAAAGAAATCAGAGAAAATGAATGACTAATCCATAGATTACTTACAAAAAGAAGTGAACTTTGGATTCAAATCTATACAAACAAGAAGACCCAGTGGAAAGAACAAAACCACAGGGAAAAGGATATGATCGGTTCCAAGATCATGGTAGATATATATATCTTCTGCAGATAATATATGGGTTTTCTTGATGTTCTTTGGTGTTCGTGTGAAGGGATTTTCTTGATCTTCTACGTGTTATTGAAGCAAAGGTTCTTCATCTGATTGCATTGAATTGAGCTTATTCTTGGCGTAGACTGTGCAAATGATGGTTGCAGCCATTGTTAAGCAGAAGCCCAGAATGTCCACTAAGATCTCTCCAACCGACATGCTGTGACGCTTGTCCGATGCATCTGCTAGTGTTCTTATCAAGATGCCCCTGCAACATCCGAAACCAACAGTCCCAAGGACCTTAATCTCTGTAAGTCGTGTCAGTTCAATTTAAAGCTCATCTCAATGGCTCTCAAATGCTTAGATGAAATGTATTTCAGTTGTTGTGCTAAATGAAACACCAAAGTTGGATTCAATTTAAAGCTGCGGAAATTTTTTTAAAGATGGGTTCTTATCATCGAGCATGATGCACCTAAAGAGCTTCTAGACATCAAAAGAGTTGTGAATATAATCAGTTCTTCAATCTGCTCTGATGTCTTTTTCATCCCAAGCCCATCAACCGGAACAAGATTGTTCATGAGAGAGTTCACATACTGAAAAGGGAAAGAATCGACAAAAGTAAAAGAAAGAGAAACTTACGTGTAAATCGAAACAAAGATCTCTGGAATTACCCCGACAAGAGATCCGAAGACGTAAGGACCATAACGAACACCAGTTGCCACTGCACAGTAGTTGTAAATCATATAAGGGAATGGAGAAACCCGGATTAAGGTAACGGCTTGAAACTGGTGAAACCAGTTTCCTTCACCGGCAGCTCGTAGTATCTCAGCCTTCTTAGGGTACTTCTCCAACCGTTCCTGTATAAGAACAAGCAGAAAATGAGAACCATCTAACGGTATCAAAAGCTAAATTCATGAATACAAGAACTAGACTCTCAAAAATCTGTTCTTACTTGAATTTTGTTGAGGAAGAGATGGCCAATGAAGTAAGGAAGTGAAACACCAATGCTCATAGCCGATAAAATCAGTAGAAATCCATAGCCATAGCCAAATGTAAGACCAACCATCCACATGGAGGGAGAAGAGGGAATAAGAAAGGCAGGGAACAATGCGATAGAGGCAAAGAGCAGAAGACCGAGCATTGGAATGCTGAATCTTCTTCTCACCCATTTTATAAAAGGAATAAGCTCCTGGAAAAAAACACAGTCAAATGAAACGTAGCAACATCAAAAGACAATACCCATTATTGATTCTGAAAACTAGCATGATTCACTAACAGTAATCAACATTTTCTCCATTGACGAGGAAACCAATCGTTAAAAACGAATCCTTCATTCACGCAACAATTAAACATATAACTTGTGTCTTATGATGGAGCAGACCGATGTTGTCATGTTGGCCAACAACATAGGACATCATCAAGCAGCAATTCTGGCATGAATAACATCCAGAAAGTTCAAGATTCCAAAAAATCTGATCTTCTTCACATTGAAAACCAGACATGAGATACGATGTTCCTCCTAGCATCATCATCACCCTCATCACAGATTGAGATCATAATACACAAATCACCGTTTAACCCGAAACCCTGATTCCAATTTATCATCAAAACCAATAAAAATCGAAATTGAATACCAAAACCTAACCTTGTCGATAAAAAACGGAGCGACCCATTTGATGAACAGAGCGGCCAACACACCAACGCAAGCGAACAGGAAGATAAACTTGACCCAGAACAAGAGAGACCCTCTCGACCGTCCCGAAGATTCCGCCAAAAACCCATCTCCTCCATCCGATGATCCTCTCAATTTCACGTAATCGCCATTATTGGTATCTTCCAATCTCAATCTCAGCTCCGGCACCGTCTCTTCGACGGCATCACTGTACGTCATCGAAAGAGAAAGGAAGAGACAAACAGAACAAAGAGAGAAAAACAAATCCCGAAAAAATCTTAGATATTTCTCGACCCTTTTGCCCCTTTGTTTTCCGTTTGTTTCCCGAGAAAATGGGAAGGCAGCATTCCTAACAAATGAGACCGTTGGATGAGGGGTGGAGAGAGAGAGGAGGGATTAGGAGGTCCGTTAATGATCACTTTTTAATCCAAGATTTAAATAATTAACCCAATAATAAACGGTTTAGGAATAAACGTATCTAATGTCGACACGTGGCGATATATGATTTGCTGCTAGCTGTAACCTGTGGAGCGCCGGTTTTCAGCGCGTTGCTGACTCACTCGCTTTATATTCCCTTAGCCGTCACGGTAGGTATTGGCATATACATATATATACATGCACATACATACGTAAACGTGTACATTATATGTATGTATATATATAATATGACTATGTTTAACGTGAAACCGAAAAAAAAAACATGCCCCAGCATATCTAAGCTGAATAAAGTCCGGTGTAATTGTTTTTTGCTTACAAATTGAATTAACTACAATAAAAAATTTGCTTTACTTTTTATCAAAAAAAATTGCTTTACCAAAAAAAATTATTCGGAATAGTATTTCACAAAATTATAAAATAGAATTCACTAAACAAAAATTGAATTAAATTAATTTTTATTTTATCCAATCTATAATGAATTCGCTCAGTATATAAAGTCTAGATTGGAAATGGAATGAGGTGCTTGATCAAATTTGTTTGCGGTTTCTTCTGTAACCAATAAAATTGGCAATATAACATTCACTTATTTTTGTGTGGAAACCATTAAAGAAGTGAAGGTTGTTATAACTAACAAGCATATTATCGATATTTAAATATTATAATCAAGTTATATAATAAATGAAGATTGTATAAAATAATATCGACCAAATGATTGGAGAGAAGTGGAAACACACATAAGCTCTTTTTTGTTCTAAAAGAAAACACATATAGATTGAAGCAACATAGAAGGAAATTAGACAGCAAGAAAGTTTATATGATGCTTTGAAGCAATATCATATATTATATTAAAATTTTATACTCATGAAAGTGCCTCATCAATATTTTTTCGACAAAAAAAAATATAATAAAAAATTTACAAAAATTCCTATTTATAGTTTTAAACTAATCATTCTAATTTATTTAAAATGGAATACATCAAAAAGTGTAAAAAAATTCTAGGTTTGAAAACTGATATGTCTAATAGATTTAAAATAAATAATCTATAAAAAAGAACATTTCCAAAATTGAAGTCTATAAATGTATACGCTATAAATTAGATTTTATAATCATACATAATTGAAACTTGCTACTATCGGCCACAGACGGAAATAATATAATGTTATGTTGATAGATTGAAGATGAAAAATGATTGATTGGATTTTTCTATTTTAATAATAATAATAATAATTAATCTCATAATATATATAAATATTAGAATAATATAAAAAACATTTAAATTCTAAGGCTTATAAATATCACCCCCTTTAACTTTTTATCATTCTTGTTAGTCATCAATCTAAATTATCCTCTGAATTATTTTTTTCAATTATTATTAATATTAAATTTAAAAGAATAATCATAACATTATTATATTTTGCGTCGGCATGTGGGCCCCAAAGAACCTTGTTCCACCGGTTTGAAGAAACCGGATTAAGAGCAATCACGCTTCTTCTACCTGAACAGCAGGCGCGTGGATACACGCTCCAACTCAGTGCAACGGGATGTAAACCACACGCACCAATTCAAGCGTGGTGATTTTACACCCCCGCTACGTCACAATCGAACAGCGAGGCCATTCGTCGCCTTAACCGGACACGGTTAACACCTAAACCCGTTCTCTTGGAAAACCGGTAGCCACGTCAACTGTTAATTCAGAACATCCCGGTATTTCCGCTATATTACACAAAAACCCCAACCTTTTCCACCACCCGATGACCATTTCCACGATCGGATGGATCAGATCTAAAGGTGCGAAATGTCCCGTGCACCTCACTTCACACAATTAACCTTTTAGCCCCCCCCCCCCAAAGAAATGATTCTTCTGAAAAGGAACCAAAGGGTCTGCCGGTTCGGTCTCATCTCTCTCCTCTCTCACGAACAGAAAAAAATTCGGTTTCGGTTTAGGTTTCCGATCAAATCACGAACGTTTGGTAGGGAATTTTCTGCGATAAATACAGTAAGAAGTCTTCATATTTTCTCTGAGTGATTCTCGTTTGCTATTATTCAGGAAAATCGTCTTTGATTCGCCGGAGACTAGGACAAGGAGACCACCGGGTTTGTTTTTCCGGCGAAACAACGTCGTTTTTCGATCTGTTTTGTCGGTGAGGAAAAAAAGGTACATCTCGTTTTTTGTCGTTTTGTTCTGTTTGAACTCCATCTGTTCAAAAGGATTTGATTTTTTTCTGGTTTCCTGACGGGTTGAGATTCGTGTTTCTCGTGTTCGTCCGTTCATGTTGGTGGTTCGTGTTTGGCTGTTCTTGTTTTTTTTTCGCTTTAGTTTTTGAACTCTCATTTTTTCGAAAGAGAAATCATTAGAGCCGTCTGATTTTGTCAAGGTGATGACGTGGAAGTTTCGACGGTGTCAATTAGATTTAACAATTTGAGAACGCTCGTTGTGCGGGAGGGATGGACCGAGGGCAAGATCGTCTTTTTACTTGAGTATCCAACGGAATATGACCTGTCATTACAGATTACGTTTTTAACCTTGTTGCCGTCGAAGTGGAGGGGCAGTCGGGGGGATACTTTCGTCATCTGGAGGATTCTGCTGGGAATCTTTTTTTTCCTTTACTAGAGCGAATCTAGGAACATCCTGGATAGAATCAATGGATTCGTCTTGTTTGAATAATTTCGTATACTGACTGAGATTCGATTATGTGTGAGTAACAAGCCAAATCCCATTAGACAATCTCAAGCTTTTTACCCCTGTCGAAAGAAGAACCCGAACACTGGATTAAAGTTCGTTTTCTATCTGTTCTTCGATTTCAACTCTGTTTGCCCTTTTGTTTCGATCAGATCGGAGATAAACGGTAATGGGTTCTGAGCAAAACGACAGCACCAGCTTCCGTCCCGCGGAGCCGAAGCTCTGCGTCAATGGCTGTGGATTCTTCGGAACGGCGGCGAACATGAACCTTTGCTCCAAATGTTACCGCGACCTCCGCGTGGAGGAGGAGCAAACCGCCTCGGCGAAAGCCGCGGTGGAGAAATCTCTGAACCCTAATCTGGAAGCCCAACCGCAACAGGGCGATGAAACCACCGTCGGAGCCGAATCCGTCGTCGGGTCGTCGTCGGTGGGGTCCAGTTCCACGAGCGGCGGAGACGGGGCGGCGGCTCCTCCTGAGCCGCGGCGTCCGGTTCCGACAAAGTGTTTCAGCTGCAGCAAGAAGGTGGGTTTGACAGGATTCAAGTGTAAGTGTGGGAGCATGTTTTGTGGTGTTCATAGGTACCCGGAGATACACGACTGCCAGTTCGATTTCAAAGAAGCCGGAAGGGATGCCATTGCGAAGGCGAATCCCGTCGTTAAGGCAGAAAAAGTGGATAAGATCTGAGGAGAGATGGAATGGAATCAAGTCTGTCTGGTAACCATGATGTTCTGGAATTTCACTTGTGTTGTGTTTGGTTCTGTACGCTTTGATGTGACCCTGCTTTAGCATTTCGGATAGGGTTTTAAGGTTTAGGGTTTGTAGGGAATGTTAGAATCGGCTGTTTGTTGCTATGCGGTCTCGATCATTTGATTATATGACTTGGGTTGGTGTCTGAAATGGTGGATATTGTTTTGTGATAAGAAGTTGCTGTTTTTCCTGTTCATGCTGAACTCAATTCTCAAGATTCTAGGAAAGATTTTAGACCCGTGGAAGTGTCCATTTGCATTGAACTGATGATTATTCGTCTGAGTAACATTCTCGGGTTTGTCTGTTTGTCACTGTCTGCCTTCACTATGCTCTTAATGCTCTTTGCATTGTACATTTGCAAAGGAAAGCTCTCTTAAGGTTTCAAGGGAGAATTTTGTTTAGGTTATAATCCGGTTTGTGCCCGTAAGCTGTTACTACGAGGTTCTTCGGGTTGAACTATTAGAATCTTGTCGGGTTTGTTGGTTGATACTAAGTCTGATTGGGGGTTTAAATCTCTACTGAAATCTGCTGGATGGTACATTTGTTTCTCTGAAGAGGTTATTACTAGGAATGAAACCCAACATTTGCCAATGGAAGAGTTTTCGGTTCTTGATTGGTAATCCATAAAGAACAGGTTTGATGTTTGGAGATTTGGATTCTATGACATGTTTGCTTCTGTATTTCTAAAGAATATATTGAAAGAGGACTTTTTTAATTATGTTCCGGTTTGTGGATTGAGTTTGAATGCGTGTTTGATTTTTTTTTTAATGTTTGTATATATAAGTAGTAGGAATATAGATGTCAAATTGGGTTGGGTTATATGGGTTAATATAACCTAATTATTTTTGTATTTGGGTTACTTTTTTGGATTAAAAATATTTTGTGTTTAATGAATTAATCTAAATAATTCATTAGAATATTTCATTTTTTATTTTCATTATAGTTAGAGATCAACCGGTGATTTTTATTAGTAATCCAATCGAACTGAACAATTGATTGATTATGAATTTATAAAATTTGAAATAACTCAACTTGAACCAAATCGAACTAAATCAATTAAAATTTAATAATTGTTTGGTTATGCAGTCTCGAATCAAATCAGTTCGAATTACTCTATTCAGATTCAATTTGGATTTGTAAAAATTCATTTTTCAAAAAATATTTAAGGTTTCTATTTATTTATTACTAGATTCGGTTCAAATCTAGATTCAATTGGATTCGATTGGATTTATTTTGGTTCATTTCGGTAATGATTTAGATTTGATACGGTTTGTTTTGAATTTGTTTTGGTTCGGATTCATTATGAATTCAAATTCTGGTTGATTTGATTCAAATCCGATTCGATTTGATTCAGATTCGGTTCGTTTCGGGTTTAGTTATAAAATTTATATGTTTTTTGTGAATGAAAACTATTTTGAAAAGATATACAAAATTAGTATTTATAATTATAGAAAATAATGTCTTTATATCTAATTTTACTATTTTTCTCATTAATTTCTTTAAAAAAATTTAAATTTTATATTCTATTTTTTTAAGGTTTTAAAATATTTAATTTTTGTTAACAAAATGAATATTTTAACGGATTTAATTTTATTATATATACATGTTAATTTTGAATTAATTAAACTAAAATGGGTTAATTTGGTGGATATGGATTTTGTGAGTTAAATCTAATCCATTAAATTATTATTGTTGGATTAATTTAATACAATCCATTAATATATATACACATTCACTTTTATAGCCGAAAAGGTTCGACAATTCCAACCATTGGATTTTCGAGTTAAATGGCTCAGATCTATCATTTTTGTTATTTCATATTTTTCATGTAAATAACATGTTATAATCAAGCTCAGACGTGTTGGTCTGGTGGTGTAACTCCGGGTTCGAATCCCACCTGAACAATCACCAATATAAAAGAAAAACATGTTATAATCAAATATTATTTTCACCATTTGGTTTGGCAAAATACCAAAATACTCTCTTTTTGCTAAAACTATTTCTGCATATACCCTCTTCCATATGTGATCATGTTACCAGAATATCTGTATAGTCACATGATAGTCACATTGGTCATAACGTTAAATTTTTTATGAGTTCATCAAATGATTAGTATGATATTTAAGGTGTGACCATGATGACTTGATATGATTACTATAAATTTAACGTTGTGACCATCATGTGACCATAAAGTTATTTTGGTCATATGGTTACATTTGAATAAAGGTATATGTAGAAGTAGTTTTAATAAAAAGAAAAAGAGTGTATTTTGGATAATGCCCCGTTTGGTTTTGGTCGTTAATGAAAAACCAATAATGAATTCGTGAAAATTAATATGCATTGTGACAACATTTTTCTTTTGTTGAAGATGATATTTGGGTTCGAGGACGATATTTGAAAAATATCTAGTTTTTGCCTCACCTGGAACTGCGTTATGAGACACTTTGTAACAATGAAAATGCACATATTTTGAAAATTATATGATGATGGTGATGATGACGACCATACAGTCATTCGTGAATAATTAATCGTGAAGTCGTATCTTGTTCCTTTTTGAGTGGATGGAGAATAATTTGCATCCTTTATCGGTATGACCTTGTCATTGTCAACGCGAAAATTGCTACAATGGAATTAAACAAATAATTCGATAAAATAAAAATAAAGATAGTCAAATAGATTTAAATTTTGAATTTTTAAAAAAAAATTCGATTTACTCTATCTTTGGTGGTGGCGACTGGCGAGGAGGACAGGAGACAACTTGGATATTGTACGACTTGTCTCTAAGCCCTTGCCTTATCTTTTATTGGGCTTTTTTTTCATTGATAAAATAAAAAGAATATTATCGAGTTACGATTTGGGTTTACCAATTATAATTACGACGTTTTGAGTGTTGTGAAAGGGTCCAAATTATAATTGCATCAACTCTTATCCAATACCTAATCATAATAGTGAAATTAGATGAAAACATTCGGGAATTATGGAATTATAAACTTTAAAGGCAAACTTAATTAGCACCTTTGCTTAGTTCTTACATTTCCATCTTCCTAAATCTTAAAAACAAAAAAAAAAGGTTTTATAATAGTATTTTTACCGCTAATTCGTACGTAATGATCACTGAGTTATCGTTCTTTTCAAACATCAGACTCGTTTTGATTCGATCAAATAAATTTAAATTCAACAATCATATGTATATATATGCATGAATGTATGAAGCTTTGGTGTGTTTTGAGCATCTAATAATCTATATGGCCTATACTCTCGAATCATACTTTCAATTAATCATTTATAAACCATTTTTAAAATGATATAATACAAAATCAAACTTAGCGACTGTAGTGTTATTATTTGTCTACAAAATCAAATATTCAATAATTTAATATACACCGTTGTCTTTGAAATAAGTTTTCAAATATTTTTTTTGCTCGTTGACCAAACAAAATCGAATATAATAATAACAATATTATTAATTAATGATTAATTATTAAATACCAAATCAAGGAACGGTGTGATAGAGGAGTGGTGTGCTTCCACTCGTTCACTAATAACAGGTGGAGACAGCTCTCACTCTATCCCACTTCCGAATACCATTTTTATTTATTTATTTTTTCCTTCTCTTATTTTCCCAAAAAAAAACATATATCTGTAATATCCATTTATATCCTAACATACGCAATATTCATAAAAAAATATTTAGATTCAGATTTTTTTAATTAGATTTTAATTTCTAAAACAATTACATTTATTTATTTATTTTTCTATTATAACTTTGTTATATTCGATTTTATTTGGAATTGATTTTTATTAAATATAATATACAATTTAAGAATTTTTCAGGTTATTTGATTTCTTCGTTCAGATAATATTGATTAATTTAATATACAAAGTTATATCAAATTAATATTTAAACCATATCGAATTTTAACATAACTAAATATTATTCAATTTTATATATTAAACATATACATATATATATATATATTAAAAATAAACATTCCCCGAAAAAAACATACGCAGTAACGCACATCTACAAACTAAAAAAATCAAAATTCAAGAAAATAAACATGTACATGGATCTATATGTGCATATACATATAATACATAGAAAGGGCATAGCGCGTGCAAAGGATCGGACGTGGCAAATCTAATGGGAGATTTATCGTATAAAATATTTGGACGGTCTAGATTTGATCTTGTTGCCCGTTTTTATATATATATATATATATGTAGGGTTTATATATGGACCCACCCACCACACTTTTACTACGTGAAGAGAGACATGCCATGCGTATCTTTGCAAATCTCATACATACCCAACGCACGTAGACCGAAAAAATACATACATATATTGTTCTTAGAATATTATCATTAATATTGTTATGATTTACCCTAGATATTATGTCTAGAATATTCTATTGTATTTTGCTATATATTATGATGTATTCTTCCTATTATCAATAACAGAAAACATTTCCCTATTATGGTATCAGAGCTTCGGTTTTTGCTCTAATTTTTTTTTCTTCTCCTCATCAACAATGTCGGTTGAATCCGAAAACGACGATGAAGATGACAACGATGTACTAAATCCAATAGTATCATCGTCTTGAGTATCGTTTTAAATTTATTTTTCTCTTTTTTTTCTTCTATTTTTTTCCCCGACGGCGGTGTTCATCACCGTCAACCCTAGCCGATTTTTTTTTTAACGACGATGTTCGTTTATCGACGTCAACCCTAGCCGATGTGCTATTTTTTTTTAACGACGATGTTCGTTTATCGACGTCAACCCTAGTCGATGTGCTATTCTTTTTTTTTCTTTGACGACGTTCGTTTATCGACGTCAACCCTAGCCGTTGTAAGCTCTTTAAACATGGCTATTAGCCTCTTTCGATTGGAAAACTCTGATCGTCGATCCACGTATTTGCGTCACTTATTTTTATTTTCTTCTCTTGTTCCGCTGCTAGACTACCACGCATTATGCGTCGTGTTTTTGCACCCATTTTTTTTTCTTTTCTCCGGCCTAGCCGCTATACACATCGCAATTTTTTTTGCGCTGCCGACCTCATTGTCGCGCAACCCAACTCGCGCATATGCGCCGCCCATCCGTGCCACATCAACCTCTGAGAATACAACTCTCAAGCTCTTCAAACGTTATCAAGCAACACCAACTCAAATCTGGACTACACCACCATATGGAAGATGATTCGTT